AAAGGTGGTGGTGGTGGTGGTAGTGGTGAAAGGTGGTGGTGGTGGTGGTAGTGGTGAAAGGTGGTGGCGGTGGCACTAATGGTGGTCGTGGAAGGCGATAGCGGTGGCGGTAGTGGTAATAGAAGGTGGTGGCAGTAGCAGTAGTGAAAGGAGGTGGTAGTGGTGGCAGTGGAGAAAGGCAATGGAGGTGGCGGTGGTAGAAAATAGCAATAGTGAAAGGAGGTGGCAATGGTGAAAGGAGATGGTGGCGGCGGCGGTGGTAGTTGTGACAAATGAAAACAATGTTGGTGGTGAATTAAAGGAGATGGCGGTGCCGCGGTGGTGGTGGAAAGCGATAGGCAATGGTGGAGGAAGGTAATGGTGATTTTTGGACTTGAAACATGAAAGTTTTTTTAAGAAATTGATTTAAAAAATAAAATTACATAGGAATGGAATGGTCATTGCATAGGTTGAGTAATGAAGGCACAAAAATCATTATTTTTTGTACTCAATATATATGTATTATTATTATTTATATTATGTAATTACTATTATATATATGTTTTATATTTTATTTGTAATAATTAGAGAATGGGAAGAAAACAAACAAAAAAAAAAAAAAAAAAGAGGATTTTATATTTTATTTGCGAAGAAAGTTATATTTATTTTGAAGGGAAATTGAAGCACCAGTGTCTCTACTGCAAAGTTTGTCGTGATTGCTTCTTTACTCCATGAGATCCAGTGTTGAAGTCCATGGCGCCACATGGAAGAGAGTTAATTTATTTTTGAACTTAGTCATCTTTTATGCCACGTCACCATCTGCAACTGACACCAACTCATTCATTTTTGAAGGAGAGAAGATGATGGGGTGTGGACAACATGTCAGGAAAAGAACAAAAAAAAACAGAACAGCATGCGGAAATCAGATATTCGTAAAGATTAGTCTATGGGAACATCTCTGATGACCTCTCAGATGAATTCTCAAACTCAAAATATAATAGGTGAATGAAAATAAGAAATTTCAATGGCCTTTCAAAAAATCTCTCATATTTTGAAATTCTCAAATGTATTTTCAAATATAGCAACTCTCAAATGGTCTCTCAAACTCAAAATATAACAAGTGGATGAAAATAGGCATTTCAATAAACTCTCTCAAAAAACCTCTCATATTTTAAGATTATCAAAAGTTGTTAAAATAAAAATAAGGCACTCTAATAGACTCTCAAAACATGATATGGTTGTTGTGTCAAAAAAATATCATTATGGATGAAATGCACCATTGGAGTAGAATTGAAAAAATATAACATTTTGACACTGTCACTCTTCTCAAAATATGAATTTGGTATGAAAATATAGCATTTTGCATTAGAGATGATCTAACACATAGCAAAGAGAGCTCGATTTTGGAGTTAGACAGTAGGATAGATTTTCTCCTTTGGAGAGTTCCGAGGAGCTAGTTAGCTCAATGGCTTGCGAATTTATTTTCTGCATTCCTATCATGTATTTCAATTATGTTTTTATCTTTAATTTAAATGCTTTCTTAATTTATTGTCTAGTAGATTAGATGATTTAAATTTCAGTAGATTAATTTTCAAAACACAAAAATGATTTTAATATTTTTTTCTCTTTAAATAATAATTTGAATCTAAGTTTCAATACGAAATTTAAATTTGAATATGAATTCGATCCTACTTATCACTGTACACTATACAATTTTAGTAAAGTGATTGTAGAAAAATGTTTTTGTATGAATTGAATGAAGTACGACAACACTCTCAAAATCAGTCCGTCAAATAGCACATTTGCCGGTTTGAGTTTGAGATTTCGTGGAATGAAGATTTCAAATTTGGAACTTTTGTTTCCTTCTTATTTTGATTTTCATTATATATATTAAAAATATATATGTTGTAGTGCTGTTGTACTTTATTTTAAAAAAAAAAAAAAAAACGGGTTTCACAGTTGGTTTAGTCTAACAGTCGATTCTAAAAAAAAATTATATTTTTTCGGAAGTTTGTTCTTTGTGTTATTTTATTTTTTAAAAAAATCAAACCCAATTCAAGCATTCACAGTAAGCTTCCATGCCATTGCTCCATCATGAGTGCTCACTGCTACATACTTGCTAAAGCCACCAAACCATCTTCTTCATCCTCTCCATAAAAGCAAGCCCAATCTTACTGCTCCACCGCTGCTCACAGCCGCAGTTCACCATCCACCGCTCTCGTCCCCACCGATCAATTATTTCTGCCGGAAATCACCATTTTCAGACATTTCAGTGTACCATCATCTTGCCAACATCAGAATTTCCTTGGTCGCCGGATGTCTATTCCAGCCGGCATTCATCGACTTTTCCTCCAAGCTTCGTTACCAATGGGTAACACTCTTCTCACAGACGCCTTTCACTACCTCTATGCTCACAGCCATGCATGCTTGCTCGCCGGACTTCTAGTCCCACCAGCATTCAAAGTCGCCAGCCCCGTCAACTCAAGGCCACCGTCCTCCAACCACTGTCAACGGAGTTGCTGGTTCTGTCGCCGGTCATTCCATGCTCGCTGCCCACTTCGTCGCCGTCCTTGTTGTGCACCTCTAACAGAAAAGCATGGCTGCGGTGTATTTGCTTTTCGCCGGATGTCCATTCCCGCCGGCATTCAAAGCCATCTTCAGTCGTCCTGTGTTGCACATAATGTTCCAGTTCCAAGTTGTGTTAAAAAAATAAAAATAAAAAATGATATGTCCAAATATATAAATATATATATATATATATATATATATATATATATTCTGAATAAATAAATAAATAAACTAGAAAGAAAAAAAAGAAAAAAAAAAAAGAGAAGAGATGTATTTCACTTTTATTTTTCATTTTTAGTTGAAAGAAGTTTGTGAATATCTTCTGAAAACTCTATTATAACCGGTCTCTTAGGGATCTTGATTGAAAGCCTTATTGCATATGGGTAATGCAATCGAACCACCTGCAAAATTGGCACCTCATAGTTAGGAGTATTTTAAATAATGATTTTATGACCTTATTAATTTTACCCTTAATTGCCCGAGGACGAGCAAAATTTTGTTTCAGGGTTATTGTTTTTTTTTTTTTTTTTTCAAAATAATTGCTTAAAGAAAATAAGCACAACAATTTTTTTTTTTTTTAATTGAAAACTAGAGTAACAAAAGAACCTCAGCTGAAATAGTGAGCAAAGGCTTACTCTTCCCGTGAAGGAGCAAAACAAAATACAGCAAATAACAAATAAAATAAAATAAAAAAACCCAAATTACCAAATAGAATAAATATCTGATAAGGGCACAAAAACCAAATAGAAAATATCTGATAAGGGCACAAAAATCATTATTTTTTAATAGTTAATATATATGTATTTTTATTATTTATATTATGTAATTATTATTATGTATATGTTTTATATTTTATTTATAATAATTAGAGAATGGAAAGAAAGCAAGCGAAAAAAAAGTGAATAATGGAACGAGCTGAGCTGCAGCGAAAAAACGTTATATTTATTTTTAAGGGAAAATGAAGCACAAGTAGTTCTCCTGCAAAGTTGGTAGTGATTGCTTCTTTACTATGCCACGTCACCATCTGCAACTGACACCATCTCATCATTATTGTATTATATATATGTGCACATGGGCTGCTGAAAAGGGAAAATGATGGAGTGCGGACAACAACATGTCAGGAAAATAAAAGGGAAATAAATAGAGAATTTATTTTCTGCATTCTTCTCAGTAGATTAGTTTTCAAACACACAAAAATGGTTTTAATATTCTTTTCTCTCTAAATAATAATTTAAATCTAAATTTTAATACGAAAACTCAATTTAAATATGGGTTTGATCTTGCTTATCACTATATAATTTTAGTAAAGTAATTGTAAGAAAACATTTTTATACGAATCGAATAAAGTAACGACAAAATTCTAAAAATCAATTCGTCATTTAGTTGTGGAATGGATTTTCATTCCGGTGGAATGATCATTCCCACTTTAAGTTACATACTAAAAAAGGAACGGTTGGAATGGATATTCCATTCTTGCACACCAAACATAACATTATAGTTATATTCAGCTCATAACTTATCAACTGAGATAGGAATATTGATATGTGTAGAAGGTATATTTTAAGGGTGTTTTCTGCATTTATTTCTAAAAAGATTGAACAGGACTAACAAAGAATTTGCATAAAATGATAAATAAAAATATATATATAAATAAATAATAAAATAATAATAAGAAATACGACTTAGGATAGAAAAAGAGAACCCATGACCATATAACTACAAATCATCTGAAACTTTGAAAATTTCCTATTTGTGCTTTGTTTAATTTTACAATATGTTAAGGTGTTGCCTCGTGCACATAATAAACATGATGTTCTGTTTTGTTATAACTTTATAATTATCTTCCTCAACACCATAGTAAAGATGCAAAATATTGTTGAATGGATATAAAAAATCACTCATTCTATGTTTGGGAGCACCAAATCAGCCGGTTAGATTTAGAATTGAAAAAGCTTAGTTCAAATATTTAACTTAATTTCTTCCGATTCTAAATTTATTGCGCTGATTCGGTACTTCCAAACCCAACGTATTAAATTTATACACAATTTCTATGTTTCTCTTTGTCAACAAGGTATAGATTTTCCTAAAATTTATTTTTCAAAACTCACTAATATGTTACAAAGTATATAATGTTTTTCAAGCAGATGTTTCCTCTCCTTTCAAAAGGTCAAGGACTCAAGTTTTCCAAAGAGCAAAGTAATAAAAAAAAAAGAAAAGAATGAGAAGCTATTAGGGCCATAACTTAATTTGATGTGTTCCGAATCTCTGCATTATCACATTTTAGCACAGACAAACAAGTCCAACATACAAGCTTCATTTCTTCCAGCAGATAATGAAATTCTCATATTAATTAGGAGTTTCTTTGTGTTAATTGGTTTACAACTAAAGAAATTAAACACATAAAACTTTATTGTGAAGCACCATCATCTCCTCCCTAGACAACCATTACTGCATCAAACAGATCTTCTGGTAACCCTGACGTTCAAACCATGTTTCATGTGACATATCACTGAATCACTTGCGCAAACAGATTGACCTTTCACCACATGAATGTTGTAGTTATATAAAACAGTGGCTGCAACTATTTTCATTTCGACGAAAGACATCTCCCTACCCAAACAGCTCCTAGGCCCTGCATTAAACGCGGTGAACTTGTAAGAGGGCACATGTTTGATCCCCCCTTGCTGCGAAATCCATCTCTCTGGCTTGAACTCCAAGCAATCTTTGCCCCATATTGTCTCCATCCTTCCCATTGAGTACACAGATATTATGGTCTTCGCGTATCTACTGAGGCGATGGCCACTGGGAAGAATGTCTGCTTCATGTGGAGCTTTGTGTTGCAAGACAACTGGTGGATATAGGCGTAGTGATTCGCACAATGCTGCGTGCAGATAAGTCAGTTTTTTCAGCTCTTCTGCGTCGTGAAAACTCCACCTCCCGTCTTTCGAATGAGAATTTGTTATGATCTCTTCTCGGATCTTGTTTTCCTCCAATGGATTTGTTGAAATGAGCCAAAAAAACCAAGTGAGTGCAGCACCAACCGTGTCCCTTCCGGCAAACACCAAATTAAGTATGGTGTCCCTGATAAATTTGTCGGAATGATCACCCGATGGACTGCTCTTTCCTTCAAATGCTTTCAAGTAGGCTGTTAATAAGTCAAAGTGGTTTCCTTGATCTTCAAACATTTGGGATTTTCTGCTTTTTGTCAGTTCTTCGCGCTTGGATGAGATACAGTGGGATAAAAATTGGTCTACCACCACAACAGCTTCAACCAGCTTCTTTTCTTTGCCAATTTGAAGCCACCTTTGAAGCTTCCAAAGCCATTGAGGCATCATGTGCCTAAAAAACACTGCTTCCTCAATATCACTGAATGCCTTTTCAGATGGAACACGAGGTAAGTCAATGGCAAGGCAACCGGGATCATTGCCTAAAACCAATATGCAAGTAGTATCAAAGGTTAACCGCTCAATCAGCCCTTGCAAGTCCACCACTGTTCCAAGTCCCGCGACGTGATCAAGAACAGGGATCAGCCCTTTTTCAACCTTGTTCCACATTGTTGCTGTCGAGAACTTCTGGAAACCGGGGTCACTGAGTAGTGACATGGCCATTTTCCTTTGGCCTTCCCACAATTCCTGATCCGCGTTGAAAATCCCATCTCCCAAAATATCGAACAGCTCATTGAAAGCAGGACCCTTTCCAAAGTTTGAGAACTTCTTGCTCAGAATGTAGTGGACATTGGCTGGATCACAAGTGAACAGCATGTCCATGTTTGTAAACCAAGGACCTTTGAACAGAAATGTGCAGCCACTTGCTTGAAAAATCTCAGTTGCATAATTTGGGACGCGGTTAGCATTTAGGAAAAGCCCCGGCATCATACCAATGAGAGGCCAGTTCGTGGGGAGCGAAGTGTTGTACACTCTTCGGTGCCATATCCTATAGCAAAGAAGAAGAATGCAGAGAACTACAAATAAAATCTCAGGGTACCTAGTGATAGCCATTGGAGCTGTGGTGAGTTATTTTATTGTTGTTGTTGTAGAATATCGTTTCAATTTGTACCATTAGTACATTTATAGTGTTATTGTGCTGATTATAGTTGGCAAGGCATAATAGTTGCCGTGATTTGCTTGCAGAAATCTGGAGCGTGAAGAGGCCTTGCTGTGTTTGTTGGTTAGAGACTGCCATTTTTTTGGGTAAAACTTAGGGGGTATAATTTTGATGAACTATTGTTCTGGTACATAATTTGAAAGTGATGAGTCCATGTTTTGTGAGCTGGTTGGGCTTAGACAATTATAAAGGAGAAATTCACAGAATAACTATGACTAACTGTCATGATATCAAGGCAAAGCATATAATTTTTTCTTTTCTTTTCTTTTATCGATTTAACAATGTTGAAACATATATAGTGCTACTGTGCTAGTATGTTTTTTCACTGCTAAATTTTAGACAAGGGTGGAGAGGAGTTTAATCAGCTGACACGCATACAATTAAAGCCTTTATGGCAGCAGTAGGCGATAGTTTAGATGGTAACTCGTCTTTTTGAAGAGAGGTTGAGTGTTCGTGTCCTATTAAGGGCAATATTTTAGTAAATTGCCTGTTTACTCAACTTTCGAAGGAAAAAAAATAATAATAATCTCGTTCAAATTTATCATATAAGATTTGGATATCTCAGCTGCACTTAGTTGGGGCTAATTGAATTTTGTCATATACAACATAATTAAGAATGGATATCTCAACTGCACTTAGTTGGGGGTGCAAATCAATACATACATAAATATGTTCTCAAGCTTTAATGAATACACTTGAACCACTAAAATGAAGCAACTGAACAGATTAAAAAGCACCGGCCCTCTCAGGTGGTGAGAGAAACAGGTCTACTTGTGCACCATTTAAATGGTGCATGTCGACATATTATTCCTCGTCCCTGGCAGGTGCTGAAGCTTTGGTTCCTGATTTTGGTCATTTATGTCAACATATTATACCAATTTAGCTAAAGTCTCATGTCTAGTTAGAGTTGTGTTTCCTTACTTAATTCTATCATATATCCCTAAAATTTTGAATTCTTGATCTGTAACTTTACAAACAGTTGTCAGAAATTCAGAAAACATAGAACAATTTTCAGAGAACAATAAAAGACAGTTCTCTAAAAACAAACTTTTTTATAACCGAGTTTTCATCAAATTTTCAAAAAAATGAACCAAGCAAAGTTTTTTTGTACAATTTTCAGCTTTCTGATAACAAAAAACTGTTTCTATAATTACAAATCAAGCAGGCCTAAAATTCCATAAAGGTTGAATTTTTTTTTTTATTGATACAACATTAAGCAGTTTCGATGATGATATATTGATATGTCGTAACAAATATTACCCAGAAGCTATAGAAAAACAAAATATATATTTAGATGAATTTTAATGCCAAGTCTTAATCTCAAATGCTATTTTCTCCTCCTCTCATATGGAAAGTGTAGTTGGAAAATAGCGGGTACCTGTCTAGGTCTTGACTGTTGAGTGCGTGTTCTTACCCATAAAAAAATTTATTAATTGATGTTTCCATTACACCTACATATTGAATTAACAATCTGAGCATAAATCACTCCTTAGCTTGACACTCATCTTGAAGCCTTGGTAACAGAAAGCTCCACGTTTATGTTGTTGCCTCAGAAACTGTTAGTACTTCCACATCTCATGCTTGAAATATATATGAGATGATATATATATATATATATATATATATATATATTGATGAAACACCATATTTAATTTAGATAATACAAGGCACAAAAAAGAAAAACTCTCTGTGGGAAGTGATGATGCATTATTATCTCTCACTGGTGGCGTATTACGTATTTTTCAATTGCACTAAAGTATTTTATTTTCTTTGGTTACTTCTCTTAGCTTCATTTTCCATTTTCTTTCTCTTGGAAAATTTGAGAAATTTGCAGGAAGGAGCAGCTTTGATCAAGAATCATGACTCCTGGAATTCGATGTATTTGTGTTTTCAAGAGACCCCAACTAATTTTTCAAGCCTGATCATCCATCTCAACTGTAAATTCTTTCCGTTATGAAGAAGTTTGAGTAGTTGTTATTCTCTACTGTTTGCTCCTAATTTCAATTTTCAACTGAATATATATATATTTTTTCACTATGTTCTTGCTCAGTTCTAATAGAGTTCGTTTATTGCAATTCTTATTTTTCTTATGTTATTACTTAATTATGTGTTGTACTGCAAATCTAAAAATGATCACTCTCTTGTATACTGATTTTGCACATGTTATTGTGTATTCGTGTTTTCTCAAAAAAAATTAAGCAAGCAAACACTGAAATTATTTCCAGTTTCTTATGAGAGAATTAAACAAGGACACTTGAAATAATTGAAGTTTTGCTAAGTGGTGTAGGAGAATTTTGAGAAATTTATATATTCTTTTTAATTATATATATATATATACACACATCTTTGGGATTCAAAAATTGCATGTAATCAAAAGGAAGCTTCTTGGAGGGGTCTACCTGAGCCTTCTACCATTAAAATAGTTAATAAGTTTATAGGTCTCATAATACATGTAAATGAGTTTTACTCAATAATATTACGCAATAACAGATATTATTATGTAATTCTAATATTGACCTGATTCCATCACACCGCAATCACTATCACAATCGATACCATGATTGCGAACCTTAGATACAACATAGCTCCTAACCAGAATTAAGTTTGGTTGGTCTTGCCTAACAAGTCGATGATTAGGGAAAAGGGTAGTTCAATTCTAACAATTACTGGCATAAGTTGTATCAAGATCCTAGTTCATAGATTGTCATTTTGCTTGTGTCCTTTCACATGTCCCAACCAAGATCCACTGATTTCCACTCATGCATTCAGCGAACAACATTGTGTCACGTCAGTAATAAAAAGTAAAATATTAGAGAATCCTTGATCATTCCTCAGCTTAGACCCTTATTTTATGAAAATTTAAGTACACTTTTGTTATGTTTGGCGGCACCGATTCAGCGCCTTGAATTTGGGATTGAAAAAAATTTAGTACAAATTTTAAATTAAACTTTCTCTAATTTTAAATCCAAGGTACCGATTCGGTGTTCCCAAACATAACATTTAAGTTTACTCGAATCAAATAGATTCCAATGGTGCAAGTCCATTCCAGGCTTTGAATTTAAGAAAGTGTAGATCACCTTCTTTTGGTCCATAAAAAAAGAAGCATGATATATGGAAATGGCTTTCAGTCAAGTAAGCTACTGACATCAAAACAAATCAAACATCAAGTACAAGTTCTAACAATTGATTGTTGAACCTGCAAGTACCACAACACCCATATCATCGGTTGCTAGAAACCCATTGCCTAGGTACATTTGGTCCATAGTTTGTCCTTCAAGAAGTGAGAGATTGCTTCTGGCCATGCATTGTCCTTTTTCTAAGACAATCACTTTGTAGCCAGCTTTGGCTAGAACTCCGGCAAAGATACCCCCACCGGAGCCAGAACCCACTACAACGGCATCACATTTGATAATGAAAGAAGGGTTGAGTGAATAATTTGATTTTGCTTTCTTCCCATGGGGAATTGAGATGGAAAAACCAGATGGTTTCAGAGTTTCCAAGACTATTTGTCTTGGGTAGTTCAGGTTGACGAGGCATTTGTAAAGAGCTCTTCTTTAGTTACATAATTTTCTTGTTGTTGGGCTTTTGGTAAGTTACATCTGGTTTTGAAGTCTGGGTCAGGTCCACAGTAGCTAGTGCTTGAAATTTTGGTATAATCATTCAAACACAGACTATAACAATAGGCCCATTAGCCAAGTAAGTTAAAACCAAGCCCAAAATCAGGCAATACTGGCCCAAGAAGGCTTGGAACTCTGAAAACAGTGTTCAGCAACTCAAGAAATAGAGAACAGTTTTCAGAGAATAATAAAATATTATTCTCTAAAAATAGGTTTTTTATAACTGAGTTTGCAGAAAACATATTTCAAAAAACTGAACCAAAAAGAATTTTTTGTACAATTTTTTGTTTTCTGAAAACAGAAAACTATTTTCATAGTTACTGTAGGTCCTATATTTTTTGTTTTCTAATTCCAGAAAGTTAATGGCATATAATAATTGTCAACATTGGCATGTGATGTGATGTGGATCAATGAGGAGGATTGCTGGCCCTTGTGAAATCTGTGGCATTGTGACTTTTGGCATGTCTAGTTCAAATCCTAAATTAATGAATCCAACCCATGAAAACACAAACCTAACCATTCCGAGAACTACTTTTAACGGCTATTTTGCCAGAAATTGGACCAACATTATTGACAGCAGACCCAGATGTTTACAATTCATACTGCTCCTGATTGCAACAAAACTTGAATAAATACAAACCTTTTTTTTTTTTTTTTTTGGCTTCTTTCATACGATCAGTTCAATTTCTGTTGCCATGTTTTTTTCTTAAATCCTAAATTAAGGAACGGTGTAAGAGTATCTGAGAAAAAGTTTAAACGTGTCTTGCATGTTTTATTCATGTCCATATGTATAACAAGTTGCATGTATATTTGTGTGTGTGTGTATATATATATATATATATAACAATATACATGTATAATTAAATGTCTATATATTTGTATAAACATAGTTATGTCAATGTCATTCAGGTAAGGTGGTAAACAACCTTAAGACACCCCAACTGAAAGCTTCTTGTGGTGCATTCTAGAATGTTAATTTTAATACTAGTATAAAATACGGAAATGACATTAGAACAAATCAATAATCATCCACAAGTTGAGCTACAGATGAGTAAGTCCCTAAAATGCCTGCAAAGGATGCAAACACAATTATTCCCACAATGCCCATGAGCTCATAGCTCCAGCTGTGATAGGAATCAGAAATCTTCAAGTAGCAAAAGCAAGGAAGCAGGAATGAAGCTAGAACAACAAAAATGGATCCCACAATGGCCATCAAGGACTCGTAATAAGGAAATACATAAGCCACAATAACCGTGCTGAACAGTAATGCAATCCTGATTGTTAACCTCACAGGCCTCCAGTTCTTGTAATCATCTGATAGCCCACTCTCTATAGCAGTTGCAACCGGGGTAACCATCAACGCGTACCTTGTAACCGGAATGAGCAAAGTGGTGTATATCGCTATTTTCGCGCTAACCTCTCCTGTTGATAGATTCAGTGTGATTTGTGATTCAACATTTTCTCCAAACATGAGATAACTCACAATGGCCATTGACAAATAGGTGGTAATTGTGACGATAAAGCTAACTAACAAGACCTGCAAATCAATCAGCAAAAGAAGAAACCCCATATCACATTAGCCAGCCAAGAGATACCATTTTAGTCAACTAGTAATGAAAACTCTGTTTGGTTCAGTTTTTTTAAAACAGTTTTAAAAAACTCATAAAACAGACATTAAAACAGTTCTCAAAAACTCAAAAAAGGCCTGCTTGGTTTTAACTCTAGAAACATTTCTTAAGAACTTAGAAAACAGAAAAACAACATACAATTTTATAATTGAGTTTTTAGAAAACGGTTTTCATAAAACTGAACCTAAGCAGAGTTTTTGTATAGTTTTCTATTTTCAATTCTTAGAAAACAGAAAACTGTTTACAGAGTTACAAACCAAACAAGTCTACTTTTTTACAAACTGAGTTTTCAAAAAACTGCAACCAAACAAGCCTTTGTACAGTTTCCTAATTTTCAACTTTCCGAAAACAGATCAGGCCCTAGTTTGTTCTTCAATATTTATCTTAAATGCAGGCTAACAAAGTACTTGAGCCTCCAAACTTTTCAAATATGCAACAAAGTGTAGGATTTTATGTCATGGTGGTGAATAAGTGGAGTTGTTTACCTTACTGAACTGATACACGTGTTGCATTGAAGTGTAGATGGAAGGGATTACTGGATGCCCAGCAAAGCAAACAATGTACAGACTGACAGCAGTAGGAATGCCATCGACGTTCAACAAGCTTCCTTCCGCGTGAAACCCTACATCGATTGCACCAGCAGAAACAACAGAACCGAGGATAATGAGGCAAGAGAACACCCCGGTGGCAGAGACATAGGACAATATGCTCAAGTCAGTGAACAACATTGAGGGCAGAATGACAAGTGCAGTGATGATAACGAATGACTGTCTTCCATCCATTGCCAATGACCCAATCTTGATCATAAAATTCGGAAACAGTTTGTGCAAGTTGTCCCCTTCTAAGATCAGTAGGCCTATTGCCACAAGGTACAACTCCGAGTTCATTATAATGTAGACCATAACGCGGCCTTTTGTACCAAATGCGCGCTCAGCAATGTCAAGATAACTTCGGATGGATGGATCAGCATCCAAACATCTCTTCAGTAATAGTCCGGTGTAGAAGGACATGGCCGCGATTAAGAAAAACAGAACTAAGCTCAACCAACCCCCACTTGAGAGGGCATAAGGAACAGTTAGAAGTCCAATTCCTGAAAAATTCAAGAAATTTCAATGGATTATATATGTGAAGTGAAAGAGCTACTAAGTTTAACTGAATTGGGATTTAAAAGTGGATCATAGTTTACCAAGGAATGCATTTGTTCCATTGAAACAAGCTTTCAGAAAACTTGATCCTGTTCTTTGAGTCAGTGGGTGGCGTAATTCGTCTGCCATTATTTTCTCTCAATCTGATAAAGTGCCTGCTTCTGAATTGAAATGGCTTAGCAAAGAGAAGCACTTTTATAACATCATAGTATCATACCATACTTTTATGTTACTTATTAGAGCAATGATACAATTTTTTTCTTTTGTTTTAAGGATGTCCAATGAGGGAAATTCCAGAGGTGTGGGGGCCCATCCATTACATGACATCAATGGGGGGCCCACTCACATCCAAAATTCTAAAGAGCACTGCAAAGTAATGCATAAAACTAATCAAGACAGTGTGTTTTGATAAATTTAAACAAATAGGGTAATCTATTACTACAAGCATGTGTGAAAAATTATTGACTATTCCGGAAATATCAGCTATGTAGTATCACAACAAATAATTAGACACGATTTTCTTTGATAATAGAAAATAATTATTTACTATTTTTTTTTCTCGAATATTACAAAGTTGTAGGTTCAACAAATTTATTTATTTATTTAATTTTTTTTTTCATCCCGTTTAACATTATATAGCACATTTGATGGATAATTATCAACTTGGAATGTTACTGAGTCCTGAGAGTCCTTTCATGGATTACATATATATGTATATATAGTTTGTAATGTATTAGTAATTAAACTATAAGTAAAAAGTACTCGTAATTTATTAGTAATCTTACTAATTAGTTAAATTTCCAATGTTGCCTCTACTTCAAATAAGGTTATTGAGAGAGCGCACATATATATTATATACATACATAATACATACACCTAAAAGAATTGTATTGTATCAAAGTTTTGGTCCTCAAACAATCATTGGTGTCGGTCACTAAATCACTAAATGGTCTAATGGAGAAAAATAAGTACGAAAAAATGTGATGCATGTTTTGTTTTGCCGACAAAAAGGAAAAGGAAAAGGAAAAGGAGAAAAAGAATAGCGATGTCAATGTCTATATCGACTTCGTTACATTGAGCATGGTCTAGTGAATAGTCTAATTGGGAACAAAGGTAGGTGTGTGAATTTTTTGATTAAAAAAAATAATAATAAAAGTGGGACTTTCTCTCAAGGTGAAAAAATTGATAAAGTGCAAAAAAAACATTCTTCAAGTATATTTATAGTACATATCACACCTTTTCTGTGCAAATAACACTCCTCAAGTTTTAATTTGATGCAATCGAGTCCCGACACATTTAAAACCAAACTTGACTAAAGTACCCTTAGTCAACAATTTTATAAAATATATAAAAATATAAAATTTTGTAAAAAGACTAAAAAGGACAATAAACAGCATTTCGTCATTTTGCACTCTGCAATTCCATCTGGGTTTCGATCGCATGCTCTTCATCCATTACAGAAATCCAATTTGAATCAATCTATCTCATCATTATAGTCCTCAACTTCCAATTCAACTTCCTAAATTGTTTTTGGATTGTTTCTTCGTCATATTCCTTACCACAGAAGGGGCAAAAAAACTCCGGCCTGTACTCCTCATCACCATCAATCTCTTCACCTCTATAATACATATACGCATAATAAACCCAAAAATCCAGCGAAGAAAAAAAAAACTAAAGCTTGAAATTTTATTGCAGGCAACTTCGGAGGCTGTGGCGTTGATGGGGGAGACGGTGGCGGAGGCGACTGTGGAGTTTCAAACCCGCCGTTTCTACCTCCGTGACCATCCTGATCGCCGACTTTGGTGAGAGCTAGAAACCCCATCATCGGAAACACCGGTGAGTAAAGACGGTGCAGGGAACTTAGAATAGAGGTACAGCACGGTGACGGAATGGACCGGCTGTGACCTTGCGTTGCGGCACTGGCGGGCAAGGAGAAGCTCGGCTGTGATGAAGAACTGCGGCGGTGACTCGCTTGGAGGACTGACGGCGGCTCAGAGGGCTCGGCTTTGGATGATATCGGCCGTGATGGAGGCGGCGACGAGATTGGCTTTGATGGAACGACGACAGAGAGGACGGACGGTGGTAAGAAGACAGGCTCGGCTGTGAAGAGCTCGGCCGTGGATGACTCGGCGGTGAGCTCGGCCGGTGGAATCGGTGGCTGGCAAGCAAGGGAGGGCTTAAAATTTTAGATTCCAGTCTAGTTAAAATTTTAGGGCTTAAAACTTCAATCTAAAAATAATCTAATTCAACTTCATCAATTTGGATCCTAACTGGACTCAAAATTTTAGTTGGTTTAGAGTTACTACCATTGATATATAAAAAATAAATAATAAATAAATAAATAAATAAAAATATTGATTTTCTCTTCTAGAGGTGAATCCGTTCCGCCGTTCCCAAAGTTTCTTGTCTAAGTCCTCGATACAATGCTTGGAGCCTTAGGCTATGTTTGGTACTGTGGATTTGAAGGGAAATGATAACATTAGTTATGAGGGAAAGGGAAGAGAAAGAAAGAGAATGATAATTTTAATCTTCTATCGTGTTTGGTTGATTAATGAAGGAAAAAAAAAAAAAAAAGATAATAATTATGTTTGGTGAAATAAAAGAAATGAAATTATTTTAATAAATTTACTATTATACCCTTTCATATTTTAAAATATAAATAAATTTGTCATTTATATATATATACGTGCACACCATATATAAGACAGGTTACTAGGTTCACACAAATCACTGTGATCTAATATTGGGCTCACAAAATGTCCAAATTGTATCTTATATATAAAACATGTAATGTGAATATCACATATTTGATAAGAGTGGAACAATGGAACATTATTTATTTACAGTATCTTGGTTACTCCGTATATCATTAGGGCAAATCTATAGGCGCATGGATGATGGGTTTTAGGGCAAATCATTTCAGCCCCTCTATCGTTATTCTCGTTCTCAACTCTGAACTTGCCCCCCACCCTCCCTCTCTCTCTCTCCAACTGCAAACTACAAGAATGAGAAGTTCAAAACCCATATATTTTAGTGTATTTATCTATCTGGAAGAATCAAAAGTTCAAAACCCATATCAGCATATCATTTCAGATTGTTCAGAAAATCAAAACCCATATCTTTCAGTTTCCATCGCCACTGTTCTAGTTCGGGTTCACCGTTCGCAAGCTTCAGCCGCTGGCCCACCGTCTCTCACTCTCTTTACAACTGCTAAATTGTATGTAATTCTTTGCAAACTTGTGTAATCTTGAGGGTAAAATTGACATCACAAATATTATATCAGCCCTTGCCTTCACTTTCCTTCTATTTCCTCCCATTTTTGGGAGGATTAGAAAACTATTGTATAAACCTATAGATAACCCTCCAAAGTCTCCCCTCTCCTTTTCTTTCCTTTTACCCATTTTAGCCAAACACAATTTTTTAATCCCCCTCTATCACCTTCCTTTTCCTTTCTTCCCTTTTCCATTGCACCAAACTGACCCTTAATAATAAAAAGATAGTTGAAAAAAAAAAAAAAGCCTCTTTTCATCCCCTTATCTATATATGGTGCTCAGACCTCCAGTAGTAGCCGGCAGCTGCCGAAACGGGAACAACATACACATCTCTCTGTCCATAGCATTTAGTCCTACAGAATTTTTCTTTATTATTTAATTTCATTAATTAAAGAAAAAGAGTTGAAGTTGGAAACACGGTCTCACAGTTCCAAACATTTTCAAACTCCTCAATCCGATCACAATCTTTTGCATTGAAAGCATGGCCCTGTAACACCCCTCGTGAAGAGGAAAGGAAGTAGAGAAAAAGACACAGGTGCGCGGTCCAATAACTACTTTAGTGGCTGTAATAAAGTTGGCTTACTCGCTTGTTGGATTTGGCCGGACCAACACTAGAAGAAGAATGACGTTAAAATCACCCTTCTTGTGTGGTTTTGGGAGTCGAACCCAATTATGATGGACAGGAACAAACTTTCTGGTAGAGAATGGAGAGTTCTGTTTGGATTGAGTTTTACAGAGTAGAGAAAGAATGATGGGTATTTTCGGAAGATTAAAAGAGCAAAATGAGTAGTACAAAAATAATTTTTGTCAGATTTCTTACATAAGATTGAGTTTTACAGAGTAGAGAAAGAATGATGGGTATTTTCGGAAGATTAAAAGAGCAAAATGAGTAGTACAAAAATAATTTTTGTCAGATTTCTTACATAAGGGTAATTTTACACAATTTTAAAAGATTATGGATGTTTATTGCATATTTTTTGAAATAGGAAGTAAAAATGCTACTCCAAGTATACTTGAGAGTGTTTTCAGCACCTACCCCCCTAAAAAAATATATAGTACCCATATCGAATAATGGTGTAAAACATATGTTTGATTGTCGATTGAGAATATCAAATCGACGGTCTAAATTTAGAATTGAAAGAAATTTATTTTATTATAACCAAAATCCTCTAACTTAGTGCATTGGGAACTTCACGAAATGTGAAGGGGAGATTTTTTTTCTAGAGGGTGTAGCTTTCATTCTTGTGCTTTCCATAGTTCATCGGTTTTTTTTTCCTCCGTTCATCCATTGAAACAAAAAAGATAAAATTAAATGAAAAGCTCAGCCCAATTAATAAAGTATTTAGCTAATGGTTGTTTATCATCCAAGTTTAAACAAACTTACCAAGGTAAGAAGAAGACTAGCCTTCAAGTCCAATCCAAGTATGTATAGCTAGCTACAGACTTGAAAAGCATTTGCAGAGGAACATCAGAGGATGAAGCTGGTGAGTTCAGGAAAAAAGCTGGAAGTGTATAATAGATCGAAGCAACACACACAGAATCACTTGTAAATGACAACAAAAGATATATAAGTAATATTCTGGAAGTGTTGGGATTTTTTCCACCCACTGTATTACATATAGATGTTATATGTGTGTGTATATATGTTTACTGAAAATCGCCTGTGATGCATTAGATGAATATGATATAAGTGACAGGTGAGAAAAAACCAAAAATAGAGTTGCTGTGCATGTGAGTTAGAGCACAATAAATGCATGCTGTGGGCAGTAAAAATCTGGATAAAAAAACAAGATGCAATAGATTTGGGCAAATATCATTCTAAATACAATATCAAATCCTTAAAAAAAATTATGAATTATGTGTCCGCCGATACACGAATCATAATTCAGAATGCACGAGTGGGTATAAAAAGCACGGGAAAGAGAGCAAAGAGGGGTCTTGAATTAATCCTTGTCACACAACTCATGGAGAAGTTTGGTAAAGTGGATATAGAACATTAATGACAAGCAGAGGTCTCGTGAAGTAGTGGTATACACGTAAATCTTGACAGGGGTGTAAAAAAACCCCGCTCTATTATGAATATAGTGTATAAGGGTCCATGTGTGGTAAAAAAATTCTTATATTTTTTATTTGGTACAAATAGATTCTGTATTATATAAAATAACGATAATATCTCCACTTGAATAAATTAATAACTGTAAATATCAATAATATAAAATAACTTTTTTTGTCTACATATAATATTATTATTAAAAAAAAAAAGAAAAGAAAAAAGAAAAAATAACAATGCTTCATGAACCTTTACCCATAATCACTGAAAATATTGATTTTTTAAAAAAGAAAAAGAAAAAGCTGATTTTTTTTTTTTTTTTAAGATGAAAAAGAGAGATCTTTTGAAGAAGATAAGAAGTTGATGCTTGGTGGGTGGGTCTTGTTTCCAAAATTGCTGGCTTTAAGTACAGAGTCTATTTCTGGTGAAGAACTGGAATTTGAGCATTTTAATCCGAGGCCTCGTCAAGAATGAATTGTTTCTTTCACGGTATGCCTTTGCTTGCATTTTTTTGGGGGCGATTTTGATACTTCAGTATTTTAAAGTGACATTCACGGATTCGTTCGCCCGCTTGCTAGTATTCTTTGGAAAGCATCCTTTCTTTCCGCGTGATGTACCGGAGTCCACGGGGCGTAAATGGTTGCTAATCATCTTTTGGTGTAAGTGGAACCCACTCACTCCTGCTCGAAGATCTTACTTGCTTCCTCTCTAACAGATGGGTCAAATATCCCTTGATTGTACGAGCTAGCTTCTTTGTTCGATTTCGATCTCATCCAATTGTTCCATTTCTCTTACAGGCTCCGGTCACAAAACAAGAAGCGGATCCGGGATAAGCAAGTTTCTAACCCTAGAGAGAGAGGGGCGAGGAAATGGGTATATGCACGTATGAGTGAGGGCAAAAAGGGAATTGAAAGGGTAAAATATGATTTTCATATTTAATTTTTATCAAAAAATAGTCTAAGGGACTTATTTACACTTCTTTTTTTAATTTTATGAATTAATATGCACATTTTAACAAAATATAGACTAGTTCTACACAAACCCCATATATGAGGAGTGTTTTTTTACCCTTAACCCATCTTGATATAATCCGGCTCACCCTGTAGAAAAAATTTGTGTACACGATATACTGTTGAAAGTCTCTTTACCTTTATAGTGAAATATATTCACTATAAAGGTCGTAGGCCGAGTTGTGCCAAACTATATGTGTTAATATTGTGTTATATATATATATGTGTGTGTGTGTGTGTGTTTAATTTGTGGTATGACAATTTATAAGAAATTTGAGTGTCTATCGATCAAAACCCTACTCTAGAAGTCTTAAATTTAATTCAACCCATGCAAATATAAAAATGTAATTAAAGGTTTTTCAATACCCAAGTCTAGAAACTTACCTAGCATGTAAGAGGAAGACGAGCTGTCAGGTCCAATCCCAATTATATAGAGCTAGCTACAGACTTGAAAAGCATTTGCAGAAGATCATGAAGAAGATATATATATAGAGAGAGAGAGAGAGAGAATGAAGCTCGAGACTTGGGAAAAAGGTTGGTGGGATGTATAATATTTAATGCAAGAGGCACAAAGAATCAGTTGTAAGTGAGTACGAAAGATACTAGTATTAATAATTAATGGAGTGAGTGAAGGTTGTTGAGAGGTCGATCATATTCCATCAACTAACGTCTTTTTAATGTGGTTGTTCTCCCATGCAATATTGTGTCGTCGATGTTTTAATTTAAGAAGCTGTTGCACTCATTTCCAAGGCTTACTTATCATTGTATGTATCTTCCATTCTACATTTCAACTACCGTGTGCTGTCTACCAACCACTCTTTGCTAGCTACATTCAATGAAAACAATGCCACATTCATTCATATCATGCATGTTTTGAACATACTCAAAATAGTTCAAACCAATCAAGTAATCAACACAGAACCTCGGATAGCGTTCCACCGACAGAAAACGCTCACCTCTCTCTACTTTTCTCTCTCTAAACAAGCCTTGGTTTTCTTCCTTCTTGCACTCTCTTCCATGGAGGGGGGAGTTACTAGTTTGTCTCTTACGGTAGCAATAAATTCGGCGTATTTGAATAAGTGAGCTCCGTGGACAATTTTTATGCCATTTTTGTTTTTGTTCTGTTAGATCTGCTCTGGTTTGTTTCGTTTTCGGCTCACCTGAACAGATCTTTTGTTTTTCTCCGGTTAGATCTCTGATCTAGGCCGGTTTGGGTTTTTCCCGCCTAGATTTGATCTTTTTTTCTTTGATTGGATTTTGTGCTGGATTTTATGTGTCGAAGCGCCTTGTGATTGTACCTTTGGAGCGGTTGCTGTGCTGATGACCAGACCTTTCGGTCTCTCCAGTTTGCTGCGTTCTCCCATGGTGGTTCCATTTGCAGAGTGTTGGGCTCTGTTTCCTCTACAAATCTGGAGCCTGTTCTTAATTAATTTGCTTTGCTTCAAAATATGTATGTCTTTTCTAGCTTGACTTTATGCCTCTGTATTGCCATCTTAGCTTTAGGCCTTTGTGCCTTTGAATGAACAAAAAAAATAAAATAAATGAAGTAATCGACGTCCTCTAGTAATGTGCACTGCAGAATACTTGTCATTCATTATGAATGATTTTGACTTCACCAAAGACTACCAGAAAATAAAGGGATAATTTCACTTATCTCCCCTAAGGTTAGGCGTAATTACAGACAGTACCCCTTATATTTCAAAAATTATATTGAACTCACTCAAAGTTAGGTCTAGCGTAACACTTTTCCCCTTTCGATGAAAGTCAATGCCTTTTTTTGTTGGCATCATCCAATTTTGAACATGAAATACAATTTTTTCCATTACTATAATTATAAATATATTTTCATTCTTAATTTTGAATTCATAATTACCCATATATCCTCACAATCACAATTTTTTTTAAAAATAAAAAATTCAGAATTACACCTTCCCATAGGTATATACATAATAGACTATACATATATCTATTTTCCTCTATAATTTATATACAGACAAATATATAAATACCATATATATGTGTGTGCGCGCGCGCGCAGCAAGTCACCATCTGTTGATCTGCAGTCTGTTACGGTTGTTTCTTCTTCCTCCATTCCTTCTTGGCTGAGTTCTTACGGATTTGGTCTCTGACCCACTTCTTTTTCAGCCGGCAATAAGAAATTTCAGACCTCGTATTCGTCGATCGACAAGAACTCGGCGACAGCAACGAAAAAGATGGTCGTCGCGGAAGTCCTCATCGCCGCATCAACAACCACCATGGATGGTACTCCATCTTTCATGTCGACCGTTGTTCCGACAAGGTCGATCTCACCAAGAGGCAGTACTGCCAGCTCGCATTTACCCTCCACCTCGACAAGAACAAGTTCGCCTTCGCCGACTTCGCCTTCAACTCTTCAAGCTCGTCGCCGACTCATGGGTTGTCCTCTTCGATCCGGCGATAAAATTACTTTACGAACTAGAAATAGAGAAAGCGGAGGCTCAAATTTTGGATCTGGACCATTCTCTAATGCCGGAACACTTACAAGCCTCCGTTACCTGTCAGAGATGTCGCTGCTTTTGTTACATGGCATCATCGGAGATACGTAATTGTGTTATGGCTGTGGTGGTGGCTATGGCTATCGTGGTAGCGGTGCAGATGGTGGTTTTGTTGTGTCGGCGATGCAGATGGTGGCTTTGTTCTGGCAGTGGTGAAGACTATATGTTCGGCAAATCTAGGGCTCAAGAAGGTCAAACTTCAGGAAAAAGAAAAGAAAAAAACAAACAAAAAGAAATCTTTATTTTAGGAAAAAAAAATGTTATTAGGGTAAAAGAGTAATTTGACAATTAATTATCATTATTAATATAATATGGGGGTGTATTAGTACTTTCACAAGAATTTCTACCATAACTAACCGGCGATGACATTGAAGGGAGGTCAGTGTAATTTTTGAAACGTAAGGGGTACCATTTGTAATTACGCCTAATCTCATGGGAGGTAAGTGAAATTATCCCGAAAATAAAAAATAATTTAGAGTCCAATAGTCAGGGCCTGTTTGGCATGCGATATATTTTAGGCGTTATGTTTTTGGTCAATATCAAAACAACCGTTTTGTAATAGGAGTGTTTCCGAAAAAAATAAGAGAATCATGCTTGTTAACGAAAATTTGTTTTGTGAAATTTAGAAATTTGTTTTAGTTCCTCCGCTACAGTACCAAAACATACAATATCACCAATTTGGTGATATGGGTTTTGGCCAAAAAATCTGATATGTTATGAAATATTCCAAACCAATATTAGTCGTCCCAAACATGATATCTAATATATGTTACCTATCCTTCTTTTCCATTCTTACTTAATATTTAAAATATTACCTATCCTTAAGTGTCGCCTTCTTTTAGTTCAACTTTAAAATTTTGCCTACTATGATATCTTACTAAGAACCATCTACTTTTTAAAAAAATAATAGTAATAATAATAAATAAACTATTAAAGAAATATGTAACTTTAATATTTAAATTCCTCCATGCTACCAACCAAATAATGAGAAATGGCGCCTTTTGAAGATTTATACACTCTTAACATTTGAATTTTTTTGATTGACACACCAATCAATCCTCCTAAAATTCATTTGCATGTGAAGCATGTATGGTAACTTTTTGGATTTGATATATTTTAAGAAAAGTAAATGGGAAGAATAGTTAAAGCAGTATGAAATAAAAGTATAAGACAAATAGAGCAGCATAAAATCAGACAGATTGATAGAAATGTTTCAAAAAAAGTGTGTGGCTCCAATTCATCTTTATGGCTCTGGGCCACTAAAGTCTGAAGCTCCGTGCGTGGATATGATGGATACGTCTTTGTTGTTACTTTATGTATGTATATATCGCATTCAGGCAGCATATAAAAGGTCTGGTCACAAATCTCTGATCTGACCCACCACTCCGCTAACAAAACGTGTTTGGATGGGATGATGTGTTTGGATGGAATGATAGGAAGAGAAAAGAAAGAAAAAAAAGATAGGGGTTAATTGTATTTGAGTGAGTTAAATGGAGGCAAGAGACCGTCTTCATTTGTTATCTCTTCAAAATTAAAAAAATAGAAAAATATATATATATATATATAGTGTAGTTTAGTGACATTTTGATAATACCAAAAACTAGTATCCACAAATAAATATATAAATTTGTTATTCCAATTCCTATTTATATAACATTGTGTGTTCTAAGACAACAAAAAAGACATTTTTTGTACTGCTATTGAGTTCAAGAAATTTTTTGTTAATTGTTTAACTGGGCACATTCAAACAATAAAAATAATAATAAAATGCCTGTATTCAACAAACTTTTTGTTTAACCGGGCACGTTCAAACAATAAAAAAAAATGCCATTTAATATGTCACATTCAAACAATAATTCAGAATTAGTATCCTTTAATTGAATTCAAAAGAAAGGGACTTAAAAAAAACTACTTACAAATATAAACGGATATGATAATAATTTGATTATTATCATTTTTTTTTTTTCTTTCTTTCTTATCTCTCTAAACCTGAATCGAATTTATTATTATCATTTTTTTTCTTTTCTCTCCTATGTATCCAAATGTACTAAAGAAATTTTTAGATGGTTTGGACCCATTAGGTCCTGATAAAAAACTATTAGATACTTAAAGTGAAAAAAAAAAAAATTAAAAAAATTTAAAACATTTTTGTATACAATTGCTGACATGTCTGGCTTGAAATCAATACTCCCAAGATCACGAGAAAATGTTTTTACACCAAACTTGTAATTTAGTTCAGGTAAATTGTAGTATGTGATATTCTCATGACACACAAAATTTAAAATAAATAAATAACTAAATGACAACAGTCCTCTAGTTTATCCAATCATATGGTTCAGCATTAGGCGTCGGGGATATCCACCTATTTAGTGTTTAGAATATAGGGTCCTCTATTATTTACAAAAACTATTTACAAATCTCCTCCATTATTAAAAAACCTACTAATATAACGTAAACATTGCTCTCATTCAATTACTTTGTGAAATAACAAAAATGTCCTTGATAGTATATTAATATTTATTTAAAAGTTGAATGTATTCTTTTTAAAATGACAGTTATGTCCTTTGTACGGTTCATTTCGTTTGGCAAACTTTTTTTTTTCACACCCCTTCGTCCAAGATATATATGTATCATATATCATATATATATATATGTGTGTGTGTGTGTAAAATAGGCATTCCATCACTGCCATAATATCGCGTTAAGCACAACCAGTGTGCATATATACCAGGTGAGTATATATATAATTATTGTAATTTAAATATAATTATAGGAATTATATACATAATTATAGTAATTATATACATATTCGCAATTATATTGTAGCTAACTCATCGAGCAGTTCAAACGCAGGCAATAACCTTCTTTCTCTGCATATCAATTCAACCAAAATACTCCATGAATTAGGTTCTGGTTTGAATCCCATCTCTACCAGTCCTAAAATGGCAATTAGAAAAGATATGGATTTTGAAAATCACAGCCTCATGTGCCGTCCGATCGCGAGGCAGATAGCATAGCTCCAGAGCACCACAATCCCGTGCTCCATCACCGCAGTCGATGCCTTCATCAATCTCTGCACGATCGCCGGCACACATGTCTGGTCGTCGCAGATCGCCGTCCGGCCGATTAGCAGATTGTGTGGTGGAAGAAGACATTTGGGCTACGGCTGATTGCGGTTTAGGGCTTCAAATAAGGCACACGATGGTTGCAATTTAAGGCTTCAAATAATCAATTGGGGACTTCAATAGATCGATTAGGTCTTTAAATCATCAATTAGAGAATTCAATAGATCAATTAGGGCTTTTGTTATTGCTGCTATGGAGAATCTTCACACCACTTAAACGACAAACAAGAAGAAGAGGAGAGATGAAGAGAGAAAAAACCTGAGATCTTCTATGGAGGATTCCTCACACCAGTGCAATGGGACAGAAGAAGAAGATCAAAAAACAGAAGGGTAATTTCGTCATTTCTTTCGTACAAGGGTAATTTCGTCATTATATTGGGATATATGGTGCACGTGACGGTTAAAAAGACGTTAATTTTAAACGATCAACTAACAGAAAGGAGGCAATATGATATATTTTTAAAAACATTGAGAGGTATTATGATAGTTTTTAAACTTGAGGAAATTAGTAGATAATTTTTGTAAACAAGAGGGAGTTTTGTAATTTTAGCCCCTAGATATTTTTACTAATACGTGTTATCAAAAGTCCTCCATGCCCCTTGTTGGAGTAAATTACAGATTGACCATTGAAAAATGCCATGCTACAAAAGAATAAAAGTGAAGTGAAATAATATATGATTAATAAGTGCATATGGATTTTTCAAAAAACTATTTTTATTAATTTTTTTTTCGGAAGGTAATTTTTTTTCATAAACTTTGTGCTTCAGCAAGTAGGTGAGTGTGATTCTGGGACAAGGGACCACCGAATATACACCACTTTAGAAATTTTCCACTTGCAAAGCTTCAATAATTGCAAGACACATTCAATCATAATTCAATAGCAACTTCATAAAACTAACACGGTCAAAACAACCACCAATAGCACATTGAATGGGAAAATAAATTCACAGAAGAATTTACCTAAATCCGGAAACAACTCTTCACAAGATTCAAAATTTGTTGGGCTACAGAAATATCAGTCAGACGGTCAATAATTTATCATCTTTTTGTTAATTTGTTTTGTTTTTCTTTGGTTCTTATACTGTTTATATAAATCCAAGGACAATTTTGTATGGTCCAACTCCGCCCTTAACCTCTCATTTTCACTGATGTCGCGGAGAAGTGAGAAATGCTCGGAAAGTTTCTTCCTCACCACATCTTCATCAATCTGACTCATTTTATCAGGATGAGACCCAATACCTGCTGGTATGGAAGACGCACCGCCTCTTTTCCTCTTATGAGTCAGTTTCCTGGTGTCAATCTTTGGGTTGAATGACTCCCGTTCAAGTGATGACTCCACGAAAGCTTGTTGAGGAGAGACAGTGGAACGATAAATCTGGTCATGATCGGCACTCATGGTTGAAATTACTGAAGCCATTGTCGAAACAGCAGGATGATAATGCTTGGTTAGAAGGTTGAGTTCCCAAAGGACCGAAGCAAGGGCACCACTAAGGTTTGGGTCCGAGGCATAAGGTTGATATCTCTGCAAGCAAGTAAAACGATCATCAGTACGTTCTCAGGACATTCAAATGATGGGCCATCTCTGAATGTTGAATGGGGTATAAAATCAAAATGGCAACCATTTTAATAACCCAACTGAAGGAATTTTGAATGTTAACATGGATATATCTGCATTGCCAATTAAAAAACTCCAAGGAGTAGTCCAACTAACAATTTAACCAACAAGCACCAAATACTGCATTAATTAAATGAACGGATTTCCAACAAACAAGTGTAATGTAACAAATAGACTGGCTGAACTGATTTCTAAGTGAAACAAAACATGCGACAGGGTTACTCCCATCCAAAGAGGCACATGACATATGAAATTGCCTCAGTTTGAATACAAATAATATTAGAGCTTACCGCAATGGGACCTGAAATTGAGCCACCTCCATCATCATTCTCTAACAGATTCCGGCACTTGACATTCTTCTGAAGAAGATGCTTTAAAGTAACCAACGCTGCAAGAGAACCCAAAGAAAAGCCATAGCAGTATTGAGACAGAAACAAGAGGTACTATGATGGGAACTAAACATGTAATTGCAAAATAATAGATTGGCATACCAGCCATTGATTCTGCAGATCCAAAGCATAAAGAGAATGTAGCCAAACGTTTTATGAATGCAGCAGCTCTTTGCATGTCATGTTGTCTATTATCACATAACATTATCTTCAGTGCTTCAGCTAAAACTTCACCCTGGTCCCTGCTTTGCAACACATATAAGAATATATAAAGAAGACACGTTGCAAGAAATTTAAAATTCTAGAAATTATCAGAGACGATGTAATCCATTCCTACCTGCCCCAGAACCAGCGTCACCAAAAAACCAAAGGCAGCAATAAAAAGGGAAAAGAAGAAGAACTAATAATTTACAAGATTGCATATGCAAGTAAGAGATGATTAACCAATATTTTGCCAGCCAAATCATCATCATAGATAAAAGGTGAAAAAATGCATGCAGAACTTCAATGAAGACTCGTCTCAACTCTCAACTGAGGAGCTAGGTTCATAATCGATGATGCGGTAGTCTCAGAGCAAAAAAGTTTCTGGAGACAAAATTCAGGAAGTCGGGGGAAAAATCAGGTACAATTCATATATCTGTTATGAGGAAATCATTGAGCACTTTTCTAATTCTTGGATCATCAATGATTGTCAGTAAGCTTGAAAGTTTCAAGCTACCTTCCTTCAGCTCTGAACAATGGCACATGTTTTAAATTTTTACTGGAATAGCAGAATAGAAATTGAATGGAGATCTTAAATAGCAAGATAGGAATAAAAAATATATAGTTGCATCAAAGAGCCTAAAGAAAAAATTGCTACCAGTAGGTGGAAGAATATAACTGATTAATATTAAAGTGCCCCATTATAAAATGGATTTCTAAAAACAATCATGGTTTAATGTATCTTTTGCAAGATTAAGAGATCAGCTGAATTAGGACTTTACTCTTCTTCTTTTTTCATTTTTTACTATTATTATTATTATTTTGGTGGGGAATGAGGACTTGAGATGACACAGGAATGATCACTTTCTGCAAGCTGGACCAACTAAAAGACGCACCAATAGGGTATCCAGACAATATCTGGTAAAAGTTGTAAAATTTTCACCAATTTGGATTAAATATATATATATAGAAGAACATAAGGTGCTACAAGAGGATATGTGAGGTACATCCCATAATCCCCAATTGGTGGTGCATATGACCATGTCAATTTGATGTTGTTTAATCCCTTCCATGATCATTCAAATGCCATCAACTCGCCAGATGAGTCGGATGATATGAAACTCCAAAAAGAAAAACTGCTGCTTCAGAACCCATGAGAATAGGACTACTAAACTGTTGCATCCGTCACCTATGTTGTGGTCAGTGGGGCAGCTGCCCCACTGACACTCTTTATTTATATTAGTAACTAAAATTATAATAATGCTCCCACAAAATTTTTGGTAAAATACTCTATACATGCTAGTCACGACCACTAATTTTTTCTTTATTTATACAGCATGCCTAAAACTTGTCTAATATGCTACCTTGATAATAATTGAAATGGACATATTTACCTAAAAAAATAATTGAAATGGAAGTATAAGAAATTTTTTAATTTAAAATATCAATTAATATTAAAGTCTTTTGTTTATTATAGTAGTTTGAATTTTGAATTTTATTTTTTTATCTTATTGTGTTCAAGGCCACCCCCTCTAAAATATTTAAGCTAAAATGGAATGAATGAACTTGAAAAAACCAAGGGTTTTAATTGCTTGACTTTCAGGAAAAAAAAATAAAAAATCAAGAGTTTTAGACTGTATTGGTACTAACCTTCCCGGCCTGTACTCAAGTATAAGAGTGTATAGCTGGACAAAAAAGTCCTGCAAATCAACATTCAGGGCATCAAGATTGCTCCTCATTACTTTGAAAGCAACAATGCAACACCGCAGCCGTTCAGATACAGTCAAGTGTTTTAAGGAATTCTCAGAAGATCCATCCAAGTTACTGCCGCCTCCGGCAAGCTTTCTTAGATAATTCAGAAGATCGCCCATAAAATCTAAGTCAATCAGATGAGAGAATTTTCCAATTCCATCCAGACATGGAGCTAGTAACGGGTGGCACCCAGATGCACCAGGAATTGAATTTACGCCCCATTCAGATCTGAAACAAAAGAAGGGGGTGGGGGACGAATAAATTAGTTACTGTAGTCAATGTAAAAATAATAGTTTTTTCAAACAATTGATTAGTGGGTACAGAGAATTTCAAACTTAAATTTTGATTAATAATCGGTTTTAGTTTTATCTTTTCTCCCACCTTCATAAGAATAAAGCATAGGCATTTCCCCCTATCGTTAGAATTTTATGAAAGGTAACTATCTCGGTTTCATATAGAAATTTATATAGAATCTTTGAAAAAGACTCTCCTTCATAAAAAAGAAAAGACTTACTATCTTTGGGATCTGATCCTACACCACTGCGGGATCAACTCTATTACATAAGTCGATTCCTAACTTTTATCTCATATCATGACATAAGTAATCAGTTATTATTGTATCCGCCCCAAACCTCGTTAATTGATCTTTACGGTGCTTCTTCTATTAATTAGATCCTTTATCCATAGAATAAAGTAGCTAGGCATATCCATTTCTTCATATTTCAATTTCTATGAAGTTTCTTTCTTTGCTACAGCTGATAAAAATCATTGTTTTGGATGATGCATATGTAGCAAGCCTATTTCCTTTTTTTCTAGTATTTACTAGTGGATTTGGTCTTTCTTTCCCTTTTTTTCTTTCTATAGTGAAGGGGGTGGGGGAAGAATAAATTAGTTAATGTAGTCAATGTAAAAATAATAGTTTTTTCAAACAATTGATTAGTGGGTACAGAAAAAACAAAAGTGGCCTTCTATTTGCTAGATGGAGAAAAAAATAAATCATGGACAATCCAAAATGCGGGAAGCACCTGAGTTGTGTTAACATAACATGGGAGTTTGTAAGATATGTGCCAGACATTCATGCTATTGGACATATAAGGAGTGGATCCAACCGAAAGAAGCAATAGCTCAGAAGATGTAATATGAATAGCTCAGAATGCCAAAAGATACCATAACTCCATGTTATTTCCATTATGGGGTAACAACAACAGTTTAGCCTGTTCACTGGTCCTAGAAGTTAGAGCAGGTTAAATGGATTAACACCTGTACCAGACATGCCTGCACGGCACATTCTAAATCAATGGGTAACAATTTTCCATGGTCGGGGATGGCAATTCCATGATTTGGTATAAGCCAAAGAAAGAAAGCCATTACTCAATTGTCCCACCAACGCAGGGTGTTGGTAGGAGTATACTGAGATAAGGCTTAACCTTGGGTATTAAATATGCAGTAGTTTGTGTCAAAATTGAACTAGCATTTTCAAGTTTGACAGTCTGTATCTTTTTACCATCATATATAGCAATGCCCCCCTTCAGTATAGCCTAAACAATAGAAACTGGTTTATACCTCTGATATTTTGTAACAAGAATATTATTTCTTATCTTGTACTTAAAAGGTAATCCCTTACATTACACAAATAATAGAAGCTACATATTAAGAAAATATAATAAAAATAAATGATAACACCTGTCTGCAATTGGCTGCATAGTGCGCTTCAAGATGCGGAAGTAAGTTCCAAATACAGCAGAAAGTGTCTCTGACTGTATCCTTCTCCGCTCCATGGCATCTTGAGTAATTGAAGCAGCCTTGAAATCAGCATTGACCTGTTTACAACATTAAGAAACTTTACACCGTGAGAAAATGAGCTGAAAGTAAGCAACATCAAGAAGTCAATGGTTCTTATGGAAGAGATAATACCTCCTCTCTTGTCTTTGACATCAATTCTTTCCGACTTTTCTTTCTGTCGTTGCCTTGCATTTGACTTGGCTCCTCAAAATTCTTTCTTTTTTTATTTTTCTTGTATTTATGTTTATTATCTACTTTTGACGTTTCTGGCCTTCCAATATCCTCATCAAACGATAAAGACAAGAAAACCTGAGAAAACATATAGGATGGCCAAGGAGTAAAAATAATGAAGGTGATCAAGATTAAGTTTCAACAGAATACTTTATTTTATCATTATAGTCAATAAGAATATTTTTCAGGCCATTCACATCTATGAATCTCCTTTCAATAAACAACTCATCAATGTCAGACACTTGTCGGAACAATATTTGTGTTAGTACATGTCCAATGCAGAATAATAACACGTGACATTTCAATCTGATCAGACATTGTGCAAAACTATGAACGGAATTCATATTTTTTAAGGAAGTCCACATATCCTTTAAAATAATTTGATAAAAATTAGACTTCATAGGAGTTCATATATTCTTTTCAATAGTTCAGAATACATCTCCAATGATAGTTCCAAAGGTCAAAACAATCCCAAGAACAGTTTGTCTGGGCCAAACTTCCCCCAGGATCACTTGGATTGGTCAATGGCCAAGGGTTCAAATATACCTTACCATTACATCAGATAATGCCCACAAAAACCCCAGGAGAATTCCCAATAAAGCAAACTCAACCCCCAATGCTAACTCAAATAAGGGACAAACTTATCATGAGCAATTCAGGAGACTTAAATAACCTAATGACCAGAGGTCAAAATCTAATGAATAATCAAATAGAATATTGAAAATCATAATATATATCTCAGAAATACATAATTTCAATATTTTTCCACATCAATTATTATTTCTTTTCAAAAAATCATTAATAAATAATATCTCTTTCAAGGCAAACAAATTTTGAATTCAGCACCAACAACTCCTCTCTATAATCACATGGTTAAGTTGGAAAATTTATTTGAAACGGAGATAGTCCAAGCAAATGTTCAAAATACAGCCAAACAACTAATGTTCAAAATACAGCCGAACAATTATTTCGGATATTGTACACAAAACAAATTCAATTCAATTGACTGAAACTCTATTTCCAGGTTCCTATGCATAGGGAACTCTAAGAATATATCCAAACAATCATGGGTATATAATTCAGTAATTCAAAAGCAAAAACAATTTGAACCCAAGTCTGAGCGCTTAGGCCCCTATTCAAATACCACATCTTGCTTCTACAAAAATCATAGTGGCAGCATTGGTCTAAACTTTCAAACATAGAGAGTTTAAAAAGTCAATGAAAAGAAACCCAACATAGAATTCATAATAAAAAATAAAAAGAACAAACAAAATCTAAATTAGAGACTAGTTACAGGCTCAACTAACAAGGAATGATGCATAAAATCTATAGTTCATAGGTGGATTTTTAAAAAAATAATAGAACAAGTCCCAAAACAAATTTAGAATAAATAATATTAAACAAATCCCCAACTCTAAAGCATATAAAAGGACTCAAGTTTAAAATAACCATAAATTTCAGAATTAATGTATTAAGAAATTAGAGAACCAAAACCGAAGTTAACTTAGAAACATGGATCGAACCACAAATTAGTCACAAAATCAGAAATTCAAATTCTTTCATTCTCTTTAAAGAATGCAATACACGAGGCATAACATAAATGCCAATACAAGTTTATTATATACAAACTTGGGGCGGTTATCCACTGCCTTGGAACTAATCCCTATAGTTCTAAAAATTCCACCCTGCCCAAAAGTTTAGTAGTTATTTACATGTAATATGCATAAATGCCCCCATTTATTTTTATCTCCATTACTTGATATATTACATCTAAATAAGGTGACTCCCCAGTTGATTTCAATCAAGAGAGAGAGAGAGAGAATTCTAAGGAAAAAAAAAAAAAAAACGCAATTTCTCTATCGAAGAACAAAATTCTGCTTCTCAACTGGAGTGTATCCTTATTTAGAGGGGAGTATAATCCAAAAGTTGGACCAAAAGAAAGATCATATATTGGGTGCTCTGGGTGCCTAGTGCCATTCAGCTTAACTAGACAGCTTTGCGGTCAAGCACTCACATTCAATGGTGATAATAAGAACTTTCTAAGGCCACATTTATTCATTACATTACATATAAATACCATAAAATATTTAACTAAGCACTTGAAGGGGGACTTGAGTCATTTGACTCAAAACATTCCCAAGTTATGTTGGGCCATTACATCCTTCCCCCCTTAAAATAAATTTATTCCTCTAACTTATGTACCTTACAACTAAAACAGATAGGAAATGAGGACTTTGAATCAGAACATTCTCAAGTTATGTTGAGTCACTACATCCTACCCCCCTTCAAAAGAAATTTAGTCCTCTAACTTATGTACCTCACAACTAAAACAGATGGGATACTTGATTTCATCCTCACATTCCAATGGCATCCTCTGCGAAGTGATACTACAAAAGAACTTTCACCATCAGTATTACCTTTGATTGCAGGACTTTGTTATTTTCCTTCCCCTACTTTAAGAATTCAACTTCCATCTGGTCTCACACAGTCTGAAAAGAATTTTTCATAGAGTACCTCAACAATTCCCCAGGGTAAAGATTCATCCTCCGGGGTCAATATTGTTTGTCCCTTTCCATCAATGTTCTACTTCACCTTCCAACATAAATACTGCTAATAAAGCCCCCTGCTCATCAACATGTCTCTTCACCTTAAATTTTCTCCAACTGCATTATAACTTCTACAGTTCACGCCAAATCTAGATTTTTAGAGGATGCAACTTTTACAATTCATTCCAAATCCAAATAATACAATTCCAAGTTGATAAGCCAAACTAGCAAATGATTGAAAGGAACACATTAATTACGAGAAACAAAAAGGTAAATCACTAAATTGCTTACCTCGAGGGAATCCGGGTGCAATTGGCAATCATGAGATTTCACATGATCTGCAATCAATCGAACAGCCTCTATGGTAGCTTCACCACCATGTTTTCCCTCATTGGTAAAAAGTGACTTAACAGTTGCACAACAGAGTTTTCTGTCAACAAATAGTAGACATTGTTGCAATAAAGCGTGAGCAAAATGCCCTCTCTGTAGAATCCTGCAAATAATTGTATAAATGCTAAAAAAACAGTAACAATAGACAAAGCAACACCTTACGACATCATCTTGGGAGCTTATATTCTTGATAACAGCAGCTAATAAGTTCTCACGGAAGTTGAAGTGAGGAACAGCATCTAGCAAAGTGCACATACAACGAACGGACACACGGTGAAATGAGGCCTGCTGTTCTAAGGCTATCAACCTCTGGAGGTATGCCTGTTAGTGTACATAAGGAGATCTTTCACCAATCAGCATCATGAGCTTGTATATAATATATACATAGACATGCATATAAAGATAAACAAATACATATGTGTGTGTGTAACATAAAAACTATGCCAACAACATGAAAAAGTGATGACACACACATGCATCAGTTTATATGCAGACACACTCCAAAACGTCTTATATATGAGGCTTCAATTGCCAGGCACAGTTTAAGGCTAATTCAATCAACTTTAAACAAATGTTTTGAACTGAGTATGCAATTCAGAGAAGATCCACAGCAGAGTTCAGACCAGCTCACCCAGACAGACGTGTCTAAATTCACAATTTGGACTGTCAGATTGGATTTTACAGACCTCAGCCATGAATCAATGAATGGCAAAAACTCTACTACTATCGTTTAATGGCTGATCCCATGGCCCCTAAACCTTCCAGACCGGCCTGGAGAGTGCAGGTCTGGGGTGGATCAAAACTTGCAATTTAGATATGATTCTAATTATTAAGAGAAAATGGACAACAATTATCAACGAACTCATCCATGGCAGGTGTAAGTTTTTCTACAATGTTTCCTTCTAAACAGTAGTGTTGGCATATGTGCAGGAGAATTAGTTTAAAAATAATTCAACAAATTCTTAATTTCTCATAATATATAAAACACTTTTAAATTGATGTTCATTAAGGATCAAATCTTGAAAGACAAAGACAGTGAACGACCAACGGAGATTTAAATGTCTACAGCACAAGCAAATATAATGTAATTAACCAGCAATTCATTATTTAAAAAAGAAAGAAAAATAGATAGTTTCTAATGAGACAAGAAAGCCTCAGGAGAATTAGGTTAAAAAAAAAAAAAAAAAAAAAAAAAAATTAACAACAAATTCTTAACCTCAGATATGATAAGCTTTTGGATTGATGTCCATTTAGGATCAAATCTGAAAGATAAATATAGTGAACAACCACAGGAGATTTAAATGTCTACATAAAAAGCAAATATAATGAAGTAAACCAGCATTTCGTTATTATTAAATAGAACTGATTTTATAGTGAGAGAAGAAAGCCTTACTTTCAAGAAGTGACTTAATCTATATAAGACCGATAGCTAAGATTAGTAAAGAAAATGTAATATCAGTACAGCAAGTCGGTAACACAAGATATGCAGCAACTCAGTATATAGCAATAAAAGATAAGAATTGCAATAAACAAAACCTAGTTATTTGGTGTGATGTAGAGATGACAAAGGTGAGAGAGAAGATGGAGAGGGAGGGAGGGGGGAAAGAGTTGCATAGACACCGACTTGTGCTTTGAGAAATACTCATCCTGAACAAAGCTCAATATAATGCTTCCACGTGATCTAAAGTAGTTCTAGACTGATACCAATCTTGAAAAAGGACAAATCGTATCCCAACCTCAAAAATGGGAAACCCCAACATTTTTGATAACAGCTTCTTCATATATTTATCAAGCTTCTAACAATAAAAATATAGTAAGCAATTAGCTAGTAACGTGATAACGCATGTCAAGAGTTCAACCATGAGGTCCATGATACATAGAAATCCAAGTGCATTTCAATTTACTGTGGTATGTCCAACTCCTAACTGATACTATATCAAACACAACAAGAAAATAATTGCCCTTACTCATGCAGGGATTGACAAAATTTTCATATGTTTGTAGGGATAAGGTTAAAAAGATACCTTTATAGTTATTAATATCTTTTGAACTAAGAAATTTTTTGAGACGTTGTTTATTCTTTTTCTCAGATAAAAGTGTAGAACAAACTTAGCTTCTACCAGTAAGATCTGAAAGACTGATATAATACTGACAACAGTTAAGATATCCAAAAATTTATACAAAACAGAAAAACTTCCCTCCGAATTCATACAAAACAGAAAACTCCTGGTGGGAGGAATGAAATTCCTATCAAACAGGTTTCCACTACCATCACATAAACATAAAATGAAATTATACAACCAGCTGAAATTTAAGTTCTCTGTCAAGAAAGTATTGCACAAGTAGGCCTTGGTACAAAAGCATCCACTTCATGTTTGTACAATTCCACATATATTACTAACAACCAAGTTCAGCAATAAAAAACAGGAATACATTTTCAAATCAGGAACCAAATACCATAGCAACCATTAAAATTTAGATTGAAATCAACACTCCTTTCAAATTAAAATATTCAGTTCCATAAAATGCCAAGTCGAACCTTATATGCAGACAGGAGGGTAGATTCATAGTACCGCATTTTCTTGACAGCCTTTGAAACAACCATTTCCTGTTCCTTTTCAGTGGGCAGCCTGATCTTGTAGCTATAGTGCATATGGAGAGAGAGAGAGAGAGAGAGTAAAGATATGGACCGTAACAAAAGAAGGAAAATAATACATATATATATATATATATATAGTAAAAAATGTGCAGAAAGCACTGTGGAATAAAAACAATATTCTACCCAGGAATGATGTCTCTGAAAACAGCCAACAAAGACTTTAGTCCAAGTGCAACTATAGCATGATCTCCGTCTTTTGAGAGCTGCAGCATCTCTCTAAGAGATTTGATATTTGATTCTGGGTCCGTAAGCAGAGTTGTTCCCAACTCTGCAAGTCTATACTTTTTTCCTTCGTTGGCTTCTTCAGCTGAGAGCTCTTTTTTCACCTCAGCCTAGACAAAGAAAATATACCGTTTCAGAATAAACAATTACTCCTATAACAATTGGAGATAATCTGCTTTCGCTCCAAAAGTAAAACACGGTAAGAAAAGAAAATTATGGAAAAATTATGGAAAAATTAATAATGGCAATCAATTTTTGTAGCTAGAATGAAACAATGTCTCATACACTCCCGATCATCAATCCCAGCTTCGAGCAGTTTGTACATATATGTTAGTATCTTCTCAAATATGTAATAATAGATAATAAAGAAAAACAATCAATGCAAATAATTTCTTTTTTTTTTTTTGTGGGGGGGGGGGGGGGGGGGGGGATAATTTATAATTCAGTTAGATCTTTTCACTCCAAAATAAAACTATGATTGGGGAAAGAGAAGCAGAGTGGCATATAGTTCAAACAGATAAGATTACAAACATTCAGTCCCAAATAATGTCTTATATGCTACAGCAAACAGCAAAATCACAAGTGCACAAACTTTAGTGAGATTGTACTGCATTAGCTTATATTTTTTCCTTTCCAGACAAATGTAATGCATCATATTATAACTATCATGAGATAGCATTGATACACATGATATCCAAAGAAGTGGCACGTCAAGTACAAAAATGCATTTCAGGGCTTCACGCTTCCATTCGAATCTGTGCGCCTATTTTTCCAATATATCAATAAACAAAATCACTTGCAAAAGCTGTCTATGGAAATACCAGAACTTCAGCCTGAGGGGTTTGTTGTTGCACTTCATCTTCTTCTGTAACCAGCTTCTCTTGTTGCTTTGCCTCTTTCCTCATTTTCTTGAGCTTCGCCCACTTTTCTGCTTTTGTCAACTTCACAACACTTTTATCTCCATTATCACCATCGGCTTCATTTTCACTCTCACTTGGTGCAATTTTAGATGTTTTTGATACTACAATGTAACCAAAAGGAACCAAAATATGTGAAAATTCATTCTCTACATATACTTGAAACACTGTCTAAAAGGCATTTGAGAAGAAAAGGAAAAAAGAATAAACTGTAAAATACCCGTCCTGTAGTAAAGTTTTCCATCTAAAGTCTTCACGGGAAGGGCATCCACGGGATCAACTTCAAGCCCTTTGTCCTCCCTTTCTTTCTCTACCGACTTCTTTCTCGACCGCTTCTCATATAAGGACTCCAAAGCATCTTCTTTTACATCGGCAACACGTTTAACATGCCTTTCAAAGTAAAATGAGATTGATCAATTGCACAGAGTAAAAAATCCATTAAGAAAAAGGGTAAAAAATAAAATTAAAAAAAAAAAACCTCACAAATTAATAGAAACTGGGAGATTTTGTTTGTCATCTCCTCAAGTGGTCATTTAAAATTCAATTTTTTAGCATAAAGAAGGCTAGAAAAAAATAAGGACTTTAGTTTCTTGATTTTTTTTTTTCTCTATAATTTTTGCACGATGAACTGTATGCAAAAATTTGGAGCTACCTTCCCATAACACCAGACAGTATAATTGCCCACCATTTTCACCATTTTATACATAGAAACCAAAAAAACAAAACTACAGTTTCAGTTTTCGTAAAAGTAAAACTATATATAATATGGAATAACTTTAGTTTGGAAGATGTATGTATACACACTTGGTAATGGATTGGGTATCCAATTTGGAGACGAAGCCGGCATAGTCACGATTCTCGTTGACAAACTGCAAGTCCTCATCGGAGACTTCAATTTCGTCCTCAGAAATATCTGGGGGGAGTTCAGGCGGTAGTACAATCTTATTCTTCTTGCCCATTTATATAAGGTATTAAGGTCGTGTGTATATATATATCAATGGATTCAATGAAGCCCTAGAGGTTTCTGCAGCAATGAAATTAACTGGGTAATTAGAAATTTAACGTTTCAAAGTTCAAACCAACAAAAGGCTTTTTCGCAAACACTTGTTATACGTAATCAGAAGCAAACCTGTACACTCTGTGTGCGCGTCTGTGGCTCTGTGCATATGTGAATCTATATATTTATATATACACACACATGTTATGTGATGGATGATACGTATGCGAAGAGGAAAGAGAAAGAGAAATAGAGAAACGGCTACCTGGTTGTGAATGGCGGTTTGAAGGATACACTGGCGGAGGGAACCCTAACGACAGTTCAAAGCAAGACTAGGGATGATGACATCAGACGTAAAATACCTCCCGCCCCGTCGGGCATTAGACCCGACCCGTTACAAACGGTATTGAGTTTGAAAACCGGCTTGACATATTCGGACCGAATTGCAGGCGATCCGACCCGATAATGGGATGAATTCTTGCATAGTCAATTCATATCCCCAAAAAAAAAAAAAAAGCCATATCCGAAATTCACTCTATGAGTTGTCCGATCTGATTATAAATTATATCGTAAATTGATTCAAACTTAGACATGGGAGAGAAAATAATAATATTAATTATGAGAAAAATAATAATAATAATAATAATTTATATTTATGTTTAGCTAAATAAACCAGAAAATAAAAAATTAATAAATTCTTGATGAGATATGATGGAAAAGAAAAATAATAATAACAACTAAATTACTATTATATGTTTTTAAATAGAAAGAATACGAATAGAAAAATAAATTTTTTTTTTTTAATAGTTGAGTAACTTTAGATATTAATGAAATACTAATTAAATAGTCTCTCTAACTTCTCATTTTTAAAAAACAAACTTAAGCCATATCATTTTTTTTTTTTTTTTTTTCCCTATTCCTCCAAATTATTTCTAGGGTTATACTGGGAATGCTGCTACGATTTCCTTTCTGGAAGAAGAAAGGGTGGACACTTGTAAAAAATAAAATAAAAAAATAGAAGAGAATAACTAACAAGAAATTACTCGGGCAGTCGATCCATGACTTTGCCATTCATTTGCGTTTTTTCTGGAAACACAAATGCAATACAGACCTATACAGTGGCTTCAAGTTTTGTTCTTGCGGCTTGAAACAATAGACGAGGTTTATTACTATATGGGTGAGAACACGGTAGTATTATAGACATAACATTGTGATTATAATTTTTTTTCATTAATTCTATACAAATCTAATATTGATATATATTTATATATAAATTTTTTTTGAGGAATGCTTGTACAAGGATATAAAAGAACAAACTATTTTTTTTTAATTGTTTAATGAAATTGGTCAAAAATAATAATAACAATAATAATAATGCTTAATGAAAACTAACTGTTGATACTAATTAACTTGAGGAGTGTATACATTTTCTGCATAATATTTGAGTAATATATTAATATATTATTTTAATCGGATCGAATTACGGATATTGGATTTGATGCTCAATTTATATAGGACTAATCAAATTGGATTCGGATAAGACAGGTTTAGTTAAAACTCGAATCTGTGTGGGCTGGGAACAGGAAAGGTCAACCTGCCCACCCTATTCGATTTATACAATACAAAATATTATTTTATCTCTATAGTCTTTCTGTCCCAAAATAAATATTTATTTTTGAGAATTTAACCTTTTTAAATAATGTATTTTAGTAATTTTTAGTGTAGTGATAATGAATGAATTACTAAATCTGTCCATAGTGAATTTACATGATGTGCTGGTTTAAGGGTTAAATTGGTAATATTATAAAAATAATATTTTAACCGAGAATCTGAAATGTTTATTTTGGGACAACCATAAATGAAAAGGTAAGCATTTGTTTTGGGACTGAAGGAATATATTATTTTTCAAGTAGTCAAATATTTTTCCATCACTAGGCAATAGTTTGGTGATAATCCAAGTTTCTTACTACTTTAATTAGTCCCCATTGTGTTTGGGCCGCATTCACCCAGCACTTCAGTTGAAGTGTTGGGCTGGTAATGAAACAAACTACAATTTTTATATTATATTTTTCGTTTTCATTTCGGGACAATACTTTTCGGACTAGTTTGGTAGGTGAGAATGAAATGAAATAAAATGGAATTGAATGCTTTTTATTTCATTCTTTTGTTTGAAAAGTAATTTTAAAGATGAGATGTCTATTCTCCACCTTTCTCGGAGAATGCTCATTCCATCAAAATCATTTCACGTTCCAACAAGATGAATAGGCATTTCATTCCCTACTTAAAAAAATATTAAGTAAAAATAATATTAAAAATTATTTTACTTGAACGATGTGATTACTAAAACACTTTTGTCAAACAACAAAATCTAATAAAAATTAACTTTTTCTTGATATTCCCTCCTCAATTTCCAAATATACAGCTATGCAGAACCAAACGAGAGAATGGGAATGGTCATTCCATTCTTTGGTTCATTCCATTCCTACCTTATTTCATTCTTTCATACCAAACTAGGCCTTAGTGGTTAAAGAAGAGGGAGAGGGTGCAAGGCTCCAACATGGACTCCCAAATACAAAGAACAATCTAACTACTCGGGCAACACTGCACTTGCATATAAATTTCAAAGTGTGGAAATCTAGATTTTTATTTTTTTCTCTTCCTACTTAAAGTTCCATGTCATTCCTATTTCCACAAAGTATAGCATACGTGTCTTTCAATTGCTCATTATTTTCACAAATCTATTTTTACTAAGAATATATATATATATTCCGCTAATTTACAAATATAATAGTGAATAAACCAAAACCCATGTAATGGGAAATTATTTAAAATGTGCCACATTTATGAAGAAGTACTACGTATACTATTTGGGCCTTGCTAATTCCTTTGAGAAAGTCCAACTTCTGACCATTTACACCATGGTCCTTGATTGAAGGTCGCCCAGCCCACCTTTGACAAATTGGAATGAAGAAGTTCAACTTTTAACAAAGTCTCGTCCGTATTAACTAATCCAGATGAATTTTCATCGGGTTGCTAATGAATTTCACATCAACAAATCATACAAATTTCATATAATTATCATATCAAAATCATCTTTCAAAACCAAATCATACAAATTTCATATAATTATCATATTAGAATCATTTTTCAAAACTTTGGGTATGATCACCCCTACACTGATGCACCGAATTTCATAAGAACTCTACAATTAAGCGAGTTTGGATGAGAGCAGTATTAGAATGAGTGAGCCCTATAAAACCCCCATGTTGCACCCCTTCTAAAAAAATTAAAAAATAATAATAACAATAAGAAAACTCACACCTTTCATTTTCTTATCTTTATTTATTGGTTTGAAAAATAAATAATTTGCTTCCATCAGGCATTAATACTTGGTGGAAGAACAGAAAACATTAATTTGAAGCATGCAGTGTTAGGTGTATAAATGAACCACTCAATTAATTGCATGCCTTAATCAGTTCCATGAAGCAACAATGGAACATCTCAATTGACAATTTTCCAGTTAAATGCTCTTTTCAATCATTTATAGGACACAACCATACCTCCACTATTAAGTATGCCATTTATATTCCACAGAGGAGTAGGTAATGGCATTGACAAGAAAAGGAATTAACTAGCAATAAATAAGCAGCCATTAACACACCGTTCTAGAAGCTGAGGATGAGTGAAGTGCATACCAAAAACTTAAATGCATGTATACATCAAAGTCACAATCTGAAACCAATAAATCTGTATTAGTAAACAAAAGCCTTTCCATTTTTTTGACAATCTAACAACTTATACTTGTCATATCCATTAATATGATAGAAACAGTTTACTATCTAGATGTGACTATATATATGTTCTATTTTTCTCAATGTAGATGAACAAACCACAACCTATTCAAATCAGACTATGCCCAAATTGACGAACTGCGTTGAAAACTTTGGTTCATGGTGTGATACACGCTCCAATGAATGTATATTGAATCTATGAATGCAAGATATTTAATTACCTGAACTCAATGATCATGTCCAAGCAAGTATAAATACCTTCATAATGATTTCGGTTGACCGATTGAGACATGGAAGGAGTCTAAATTGCATATGGAAACCTCTCTGAGAAGTGGTACTGCAATGGGGTTTCAACAGAAATACGGATGAGATTTAACTGTTATCACTAAATACCATGTAAATCTTGACTGCTTTAAGTCATACTCAACTTTAATATAAGCATATAGTTGTTGTATCTACCATAGTGATCTCCTAATAAATGACTCATAATCCCAATTATGTCAGCTTCAAGTTGGTTAATCTTGCAATGTGGTCTCTCCTTGGCCTCCTCATCTACCATACTAAAATTGGAATTGCAGAGCGTTATCTCATTCAACAATTAACATATATCTAAATTCACTAAATAGAACCCCTCAGATGGACAACCAAGGGCTGTAGCTCACTGAAACTTCCTTGCCTTCCAAAGTAGAAGGTCGAAGATTCAAGTCCGCAAAGGACGTGTGTGTGAACCCCCTCAGGTGGGGCCCACTTTAACTGGGTCCCACTCTTGTACTTGAGTTCAAAAGGGCGATGCTTCCTTCATTGATTCCAAGAAAGGTCAAACTAACTTCATTATGCCCACCAAACAATTGAAACTGGATATGTGTTATAATCTTAGTTATAACCTAATTTGATCATCCCCAGACCATGCCGTTATCTCAATCCACACATTAAGAAACTAACATTCAAATATGAATCAATTTCATAATCTGAACAACTTTGAATTGAAAGATATAGAAACAGAGTTAAAACATGCAGGATTTAGATCATTAGCTATTAATCACACAGCCACAATTTCGCAACAAATTAATCACATCTAAAAGATGATATAATTGATTGACAGGTGAACTAGATTTAAATGTAATTAGATACATGTAATTAGTACATAATAAAGTTAACATTCACCTCATTGAGATGGTAGGTGTGCCACTTTAAAACACTTTAACATGTATGCTTCTCATTTATTTTGTGTTAGGTATATTAATAAATTGCTCTAGTAAATGCCAAACTTAGCTTCAAGAAGCAAGCATGAATAATGCTTTCTTGTTAAATTTAGGTGGATGCTGTTTTCAACCATTTATTTGTAAGGACAATACCTTTATAACTCGCTGAAGGTCAGCAGAGAGCACAAGAACTGGTAAACGATCAATTTATGCAACTTGAGGTCCTTGGAGTAAAGGATGATCTTGCTGAGCAATCAACCTGCATGGATACAAGTCACTTTCTAAAATTAATGAGTTCTCCATTGATGGTCAGGACCTGTTTGACAAACCCATAAAAGGTTAATTTCTTAAAAAATATTTGGAGTATACAATTTATCCAGGAAGCCTATATATTATTGAAAAAATCAAAATGTATAAGCTCTTAAAGGGGTTTGGATTCAAACAATTATATTGCTAACAAAAGTTTACATTGTTTTGAACCGAGAAAGCCGGCAGGATTAATTTACTCAATATTCAGGTGCATGACATACACCTCACACCATCCCTAATGTCCAACCAGAACTTCATTCTTATTGGATAAAAAGGAGGAAAAAAAGAGAAAAGATTAGTTAGGAGAGAGAAGAAAAGAAAATATAGCAATAACCTGTATTCATGTTTGGATAAATTATGAAGGAAGAGAAAGAAAATCATAGCATTCTTGTTTGGAAAAGATAAAAGGAGAGAGAAGAAAAGAAACTATTTCAACTAATTTATTATGATAATCCTAATGTTAAGGTGGGATCCAAATGTCTTCTAAATTTCTTGCATTAAAATGTTAAGGTTATTTTCGTTATTATTAAAGTGTCACTCAAGTTGCAATTTGTGATGTTGTGGCCCGAATTTGGTGCTGGGCTGCGTTGCGACCCGACGACCCCCGAGGAAAAATTTTGACCAATTTTTGCTCATAGGTCATTACCCTAATTAGTACTCTCTCTTATAGCCCGATATATAAGGACATTTGGGGTTTGGAGTGGGTGGTGAGAGAGACACTGAAATTCGTATAGAATAGAAAGTGAGGGGCTGAAATTTGTAATCTCCAATTTTACACACAGTTAAGACTTTTGCCGGATCTCCACCGTGGACGTAGGCTTTGCCGAATAACGTATAAATCTGTGTTCTTTGTGTGGTGTGTTTATTTTCCTGTCGTGTTTCGTAATTGTTGCTTGGTTCGCTGCGTTTGTCATAACACTATCCTTTCTCCCCAAATCGATCTTCCCACTTTTGGAAAGATGGCAAAAAATATATTTGGAGGGATAAGCTATCCCTCCAAATCCTTTCTTTTCTCTCCTCATTAAAAAACCAAACATGAAAATCAGTATCCCTCCCTTTCTTTTCTCTTCTATCCTCAATAACAAACCAGGTTCAAAGTTCCTAAGCATATTTCACTAATTAAGCTAGTAAGTTTTGAGGAGTGACAAGTATGTGGCTCAAATGACTAGTCCTCTTGAGCTGTTGTGGCTAATCACACCAAGTATGTCCTAAACAATAAATGTGTGTTGCAGACAATAGAGATGACTCCACATTACAAAGCTCAGCAGCAATCAGGAAACCATAAAACATGTCCTCTTAGTTGAAAAGAGGGAACTTCTGCAACTCCTCAGCATCTTGATGAAGATCTGGGTTGGATACCAGCTGCCTCAAACACTAGAATAGCTAAAGTAATCCCTACCCTAACCACCTGCTAACACATAATAGGTTTTGAGTTTAATTCACCAAACTACCAACTCCAAGTAAATTAATTAGGTAAATGACTTAATACCAAGTCAGAAAGTCCTGTACCCAGATAACATCTGGACATGGCTTAGTGCTACTTTCATGGCTTCATGAGTGACATCAAGTTCGAAGTTGGAAATTCAAGACCTCGAAAGTACGATTAGTCATATTTCAGTTAGCTTTGCCATCTCTACTTTGTCCTCCAATTCAAGCAATGCTCATTAATCATTTTATTCACAGCTCATTCTCGCCTTATATGTGGATTCCATTTTCTATGTGTATGAAAGAGTTACCAACTTACCACCATGCAGAAAGTGCCAAATTTGCAGTAGAAGCAATTAGACAAATATGGGAAACATATTTCCCCAGCCTAAGGCCAAACTTATCTTAATTTGACACAATTTTAAAAAGTTGCCTACTTTCAGATATGTATTATCCAATCAGACTTTCTTAGTTTACATAATTTCCTAAATTTTTTAATAAATAAAGAATATTACTATTTCCAAAGCCTAAACAAGGCTGCATCCACAGCTCTTTCTCACATTATATGTGGGTTCCATTTTCTATGTCAAAGAGACTATGGCTGTGGAATTAGCATTTTTCTAGATCAATTAGTAAAATACCTCAGAAAGCCAATTGTTTGCAATATTGAATTAGAAATTGTTTTCTGCTAATTCAATTCATATTTGACTTAAAAAAAAAAAAAATTAAAACAAAAAAAGAAAAGAAAGTCAATAGCCATAAAAGGCAGCCAGTGAGTATTCAATCAGAATTTATGAATTTCTGCAAGACTTTCTCAGTATACAGACAGAATATGATCTAGTAATTGTTTTGAATTTATTCATAGGATATTGGTTGAGAAAATAACATTAAACCCTTCTGAGATGGTAGGTGAAGATTGTAAAAGTTATAATTCTCATTTATTATTTGTTAGGTGTGTAAATAAAATGCTATAGTAAATGCCATAATTAGCTTAAGGAAGTAACCATAAAACACATCCTTCAATGGTGCTTAGGTTGATAGCTGTTTTCAGTCATTTATAGCAGACAACTAGATTTCCTTCTATATTTTATATCCCATAAAATGCCCTTAGAGAAGCACAAAAACTAGAGTAGCACATGATCTAACCATATAATGTGATTATTATGCATCCAGATGGTAAACAATCAAATTGCATGAATACGAGTCGCTGCCCAAAATTTATGGTTCTTAATCAGAGTTCTGTAAATTCTGTATGAAAAACTTTCAAGTCTTACATTTTAGCCATTGAACTTAATTATCATGAAAGGAATGCTTTATGTATATTTGTTTATAATGCAAAGAGAAATCCACATGTAAGCAAAAATTCTTCCTTGAGTAGACTCATACCTGAACATTGAAGATTACAGTATCCAAATTCAGGTCCAGGTTCAATGAATGCATCTCATGCCATCATTTTGATCAAACCAAAACCAGAGCTTCCATGCCCTTATGCGGCTTACGCCCAAATCAGGTTCAGAATTCATTCACTATTATGCTACATCATTCAAAGCAAAGCGGAATCTAATGTCAAAAACAAGCCAGAGAACTAAGCGCAAGGCCGTATTCCAACTTGAAAAAAAACAAATTCCTAGGATGTGCTTCCCATTAACCAAACATGCAAACATGCCTCAACAAGAAGTACGTAACCATGCATGGGAGTTAAAGAGTAATTCAATATTTAAAAACAATAAATATCAGTATTAGTTCTACTGGATGTTGGATATTTACATACAACCATGTAGTGAGGCTACAATCTTAAGTTGCATGGTATTCAAAATATGAATTTTGTATTGAAAAAAAAAAGAAAAGGAAGAAAGAAAGATGGAGAAGAAAAAGGCATGAAAGCTTGGGTTGGAGGACACCAGCTTCCTTTAAAATATATATTCCATTCTTTCACTTACAAACTATCTTCTATTATTCACAAAAATAAAAAATCACGTAATTTAGCCATAAATAAATCTCCTCAACATCTTATATGGATATGTTAAGATCAATCCGAGGTTTCTTCATAGCAACTGGAGAGGGAACAATCACATTGCATCGAGGGCATTTAGGGTTGCTTTTGGATATCAGCACATAAAGAAGGCAACTGGGGCAGCCTGCTGCAAACGATGAGGATGATTTCTCCTCGTGATCCATTTCGATTTCTCTGATTGATGACGATGAAGAATTTGAAGACAACGATGATGATTTTGACATTGATAATGATCTTTTCTTGATAGTTTCATTCTCTGCTCTCTCGAGCGCTGATTTTACTTTGTCCAGAGTGCATACACTTCCGTAGGTAGATGAAGATGTCAACGATGGAACGAGCTTTAGGTCTAAACCGCTGTTGTCAAAGAGGTTTAATGGTCGTTTTAGTGATGGAGGAAAATTTAGATCTTGAAGCTTTGGAACTGTTTCATCGGTTAAGCGCTTATGGTCTGATGATGAAGAAGATGTACTTGTGGAGTTGCATTTCTGAAGATATACTTTTCCAGACTGTAATAAAAAATAAAAAAAGACAAAAATTACAATTAGAGAATGCAATTTCAAAATGCAACGGATAGATATATATACATGTATTTCTTTGTGTCCAGGTAGAGAATGAGTAGGTGCAAAATTCTGGTATTAGTTTTATACACCAAAGCATTCATTGTTCCAGAACCAATATAAAAAAAAATTGATTTTTGTTCTTGATAAGAATCAGACAGAGAGAATTCAAAAGGGATAATCCATAATTGTAACAATTTAACAAGAAGATTGTTATCTTCATATGAGATTTTAACTTTTATCTAAGAATATAATCAAAAGTAGTGCTGCAAAAAAATGCATAGGATCAAGCTATTACTTCAATACACGAACTAGTGATCAAACATTTTCCTATTTTATATGCGAAAAACACCCCAGTGATTCTTTACCCAAGTAAAAATTATTAGTCTCAAATACATATATGATGAATAAATTTTAAAAAGAACTAGAAAAGTTTATCAAAAGGAGTAATTTAGAACCTGCTAGTACCAATTGAGAATGAGTTGTTAGATATTACACACATATGAAGAGAGCTTCAATAACTCAAAGAGGGAAAGTGCACTGGTTCATTATGATATAGACAACTTTTTAGAGTTTCTCCACAAGGTTTTGTTAGAAACAGAGAATCAATTAACGCAATTGAACTACTAATCAATATAAATGCAAAAGCAACAAAGGAAGATAAAAGAGATTCAATCTATCATTTACACTGTTCCATTACAGAATCCCGTAAAAGGAGGGGGGAAAGCAAACAAAAAGAGAGAACCCTAGTTATATATCGTCTGTTTGGTTGGTAAGAAAATGAAAGCAGAGCAAGCAAAAGAGAATCGCAGGAAAGAGTAATAATACCTTCAAGTCTAGACGCTTTTCCCAGCCAACTGGGACTTGCAAGTCGAGGTCCAATTCCTTGGATTCAAGAGCACAACCACACCCACCCAGCAGGTCTCGCGTGACCAAAACCCTCGATTCCTTCACCTTCTCATCCTCCTTCATCGTCCCAACCAGAGAGCTCATATCAGGCGCCATTCTTACAGGGTCAGCAATTTGTGTCTATATATATATATATATATATGCACACAGAGAGATTGAGAGAGATGGAGAGGACTCAAAAATCTCCAGGAACAGAGGGAGTGGAAGAGGGGTTCCATGTGTTCACTATAAATAGAGCGATGTGAATAAATAAATGAATCCGTTAGATGTATTATGTGATAATTATACTCCGTAGTTGAGAAAATTATATCTAAAATTGTAAATTAATATCATATGTATTGGACTTTTGTATATACGAGTATATTTGTATGTATATAATTATGGATATTTATGAGGTGGGTTTTAAAAGACGAGTGGGACTGGAGACGAAAGGAATTAAGGATATGGCGGCATTTAATGCTTGCTCGGTAATCATACCATTGGACGGCCAGTTCTGCTTTATTACCAAAAAGTCCCTATAGGCTTTTAAAAGAGTGAAGAGTTAATTAATGATGCAATACTACTCCCATTTTAAATGTCGGTTTCGAAAATTGTGATTCACAAAATGAAGCCAACATTTAAAATGGGACAGAGGGAGTAGTTGTAATGGGTGGACATTTGCCAATTTCTTTTAGGGTTAACTTCAGTTACACCCACTAAGGTATGTCTAATCTTCAAGGTGACCCCCTCACGTTTGCAAAAATTCAGTCAGACCCTCTGTCAGACATTGTCGGTTGACAAAAACAAATAAATGAATGAAATGACTAAATTGCCCTTTTGTCGTTTTCCTATATATACTTAACCAAACCCAAGTTTGTATAACTTAAACACAAGTGTTCTTTATCTTGTGAACCAAACACCGTGTAATCACAGTTGCCAAACACTTTAATCCACTTTACTTCGTTAACCCAAACTTAGGTTTTACAATTTCATTTTGCCGACTAACCTTAGATAGATAGGCAAAGAGAAGAGATATCATAAAGATATAACCCTAGGTTCGTATGTGAAAACATCGACTTTGGTTGAAGCCTACACTGAATACGTTTGATCAAACAACATATCTGCAGATAGTTGAAGGTTCGAAGGGGAAGAATTTGTTTGATTTGAAACTGTTGAGAAAAAATCGCGATTTAGAGGTATGAATTTTGTCTTTCTAAAAATTGATTTTGGTTTTATTTGATAGAGGGTTTCGGGTTTGTAAAAATGGGTTTTTTTTTTAATGTTTCTTTGTTCGATTGTTTTGGTTTGGGGTTTAAGGTTGTTAAATTTATATCTGTAACTTAGGATCTTGATTTGGGGGTTTAGGGTTAGTTTTTGAGTTTATTTGTTGGGTTTGTTGAATTTTTGTTCAATTTGTCTTTAAATTGTTCGACTGATTAAGGGTTTTATTTGAAAATGCATAAATTTGTTTGAGTTTATGTTAAAATTCTGTAAAAATGATATTTTATTGCTTTAATTTAAATTAAGGATTTTTTTTGTTTCAATTGTTAGTGCCTTATTTATGCCATTTTATATATATATATATATATATATATATATATATATATATATATATTTCTTATTATTTGAATTATTGACAGTGATGGGAGATATTTATCATAATTTTCACGTGCACTACAAGTCAAAATGTATAACTGTTAATCATGTAGACCCTGATAAGTATAGTTTATATGATTTCCTGGAAGACATAAGTAGAGCTGTTCTTGAGAATTATCCTGGGGGTTTGGGGTTTACCTATGCTATATACTGTGATGTTCCTGGTTCTTATTCTAAGATGTTGGTTGAGAATGAAGCTGATTTGTTAGACATGTTATACTTATATAGTGAAAGAACTAACATTAATGTGTATGTTGAGATAGAAAAAGTTGAACCATTAAATATATCAATTGATATGGATGAGCCTTATAAGGATATGAATTATGGAGTGGATGCTAAAAATAGTAAGGGACTGAGTGAAGAAAATTATGAGGAAGTGGGTGATGAAAACAATGAGGAAGAGGATAGTGATATGGAAAAAGATGATGTATATGATTTTAGGAAAGAGAATCAAGATTGAATATCAGAAGGTAATACTAATTGTGTTGAAATTGACACTGATAGCTCAGATGATGAGTATGTAGGGTTTTAATACAAAGATGAAGACTACAATTAATGTGGACTGTGAGGATGGCCTGTCAGATTATGAGTCAAATGATGAAGCACATTCTAATTCAAGTGTAGAGATTGGTATGAAATATCCAAAAAGAAATAGATCAAAGAGTAAGGATTGGGATAAAAAAATTAAAGGGAAGGACTATGTAAAGGTTAAAGGACAACCTATAAAATTAGAACAATATTTATTGTTTCAAAATGTGAAACATTTTGGAGAGATGTTGATAGATTATACAATCCAATAAGGGTTTCAAATTAGAAAGACCAAAAATGAAAGTTCAAGGATAACTTGTCTTTGCAAAGCCAAAGGTTGTCCATGGAGGATCCATGCCTCCCCACTGCCTTGTAAGACTTACATGATAAAAACATACAATGACAATCATTCTTGTGTGAGGGGTGATAAAAATCCATTAGCCAATTCTACATGGATTGCAAAGAATTTTTTTAACAAACTCAAACAAAACCCACAAATGACAGTTGAAAGTCTGAGAACTGCATTACATGAAAAATATAGCATTAGGGCAAAGAAATAACAATGTTATAGGTCAAAAAGAATGGCATTGGATGTGATTGAGGGTAACCATAGGAAGTCATACAGTTTGTTGCCCTTCTATAGGAATAAAATTATGAGGACAAACCGTGGCAGTTTGGTCACACTTAATTATTATGATGCTGAATTCAATGGAGTCAATAGATTCAGAAAGATTTTCATTGCTTTTGATGCTTTAAGGTCTGGGTTTATAAAAGGCTGCAGGCCATTCATTGGTTAGATGGCTGTTTTTTAAAGGGCCCACATGGTGGAGTGTTTTTGTCAGCTGTGGCTTTGGATGGCAATAATGGTCTATTTCCGATTGCCTATGGTGTGGTAGAAATTGAAGGAAAGGAGATATGGACTTTTTTCTTAGATAATTTGAAGGATATTCTTGGTGCAGATGCACATGTCAGACATTGGACAATTATGTTTTTTATGCAAAAAGTATAATTTTTTTCTTTAACTGTTCATTATTACATAGTTCATTATTAAATTGTTCATTATTACTTTTAATTTATTTTATTTTGCATTTCAGGGTATTGAGATTGCAATTTCTAACTTGTTTCATGAGGTAAGCCATAGGATATGTTGTAGGCACTTGTTTAACAGTTTTAGGAAGGATAATTTTTGGTTGTTGTTGAAATTTTTTTTTTGGAAAGCTGCTAGATCATACAATCAACTAGAATTTAATGATGCAATGAATCACTTGAATGGGATTTCTACATAAGCTCTTGATTGGCTAATGGACAAGCCTTTGGAAATATGGTCTAGGGTAGGGTATAGTGAGACATCAAAGAGTGACCATATCACAAACAATTTGACTGAATCTTTTAACAATTGGGTTGGTCATTATAGGTCTAAGCCAGTCTTGAATATGCTTGAGTGGATTATGATTAAATTAATGGTGAGAATCCAGAAAAAAATGTATCACAAAGCTTTAGCTTGGAAGGGAAATTTGACACCAAATGCCTTGAAAAAATTAAACAAATCCATTAAAAAATCAAGAGGGTGTAGAGTTTGTCTTATTGGGAGGGAGGAGTTTGAAATTCATTAAGTAGTGGGTGTAAGTATGGTTAATTTAAACTTGAGGACTTACTCATGTAAAGCATGACAGATATCAGGGATACCTTGCAGGCATGCAGCTGGTGTTATTTAATGGAATAGGCAGGACCCTGGGCATTTTTATGATCCTTGTTACACCAACGACACATATCTACTTGTCCACAGTGGGATGATTCATCCTTTGATGGACGAGAAGTTGTGGCCAAAAACTCCATCAATTGATTTATACCCTCCTAAAATAAGAAGATTACCTGGTAGACCAATAAAAAATAGAAGAAGGGAGCAAGGTGAACCTGCCCCTGCAAGTGCAAGTGCAATACATAAGAGATCATCAGTTGTAACATGCATGTATTGCCTACAAACTGGTCATAATATGAGGACTTGCCAGAGAGCTCAAACAGCAAGAAAAAAGAGCTGCAGCAGCAAGAGGGGGGGCTGCAAGTGCAAGAGGAAGAGCTCAAACAGCAATAATGAGTGTTTCAGTCAATTTTAAACTTGTTATGTGTTCAAAAATTTCTTTTATTACTGATTTATATACCTTCTAATTGTTAATTTAGGAAAACATAATGTCTCAAACTCAAGGATCGGAAGGAGCAGGAACTTCTGGTGTTACACAACAAGTATAAGTCCTTACTCATGTTCACTATAACAATTTTTCAATTCTATGATTACCCAATACTGTACTTGGCTATTTTTTTTGTTTAAATTTTTTCCAGTCCCAAACTGCTCGGGGAGGTGAAAGAAATGTAACAAGAGGTGGAAGAAATATACGTGCAAGAGGAGCTTCTCAACCAAATGTGAGTGGCATTGGTGGTGGTTCTCAACGAAATATGAGTGGTTGTTCTCAACCAACTGTGAATGGCATGGGTGGTGCTTTTCAACCAAATATGAATATGAAAAGTTGTTCACAACCAATTCAGAGTGGTAGCAGAGTTGGAAGACAGCCAAACCAGAGTGGCAACAGAGGTGGAAGATAGCCAAGTGAGAGTGGTACTGGTATTAATCTTCCACCATGGGTAAGCAATAAATTACCTAATATTTATCTTTATACATATTAATTTATTGTTACATTAGTATTCTAATCCTGACATTCAATTACAGAAAGGGTAGCAAAAGCAGTACAAAGGAAAGAAACACAACAGTGAGCTAGTTTTAGAGAGGGTAGCTAGTAGTTGGAGACTTCTTTGAGTTTTATTCACCACACAACAGTAAGGATTTTTGTATTATGACCTACTTTGTTTGAAACTTGTAAGTTGTGGTTGACAATGGTTATGTTTTTTTTGTGGTTTCTCAGTTATAGATGATGTTTGCTTTGTGGTTGTATATGCATCTGCAGTGATAATAGATTAATGATGCTTTTATAGTAAATGTACTCAATATAGGTCAATATTCATTGCATAATTTTATTTGAAATAAATAGCAAAAACAGATAACAAGAAGCAAGCAAATACAACTATCTTCAAATACAAAATAGTTGTTTCAACAACTTGTA